GGAAAAGGCTAAAACTATTCACCAATTTGACTAATTTTTAAAGCTTTGCTTCTTTATTTGAAAGGCAGAGTTAGTGACAGAGAGAGGCGAAATCAGAGAGAGGGAGAGAGAGAGCAGAGATAAATGGATCTTTGATCCACTGGTTCATTCCCCATATGATGCAAAAGCTGGATGGAGGTGGTCTGGTCCAAAACCAGGAGGAGCTTCTGGTCTCCCTCATGGATGCAGTGGCCCAAGCCTTCCTAGGCACATTGGCAAGAAGTTGGTTGGGAATTAGAGCAGCTCTAGATGAATTGATGCTCATAAGGGATACTAGAGCCGGTGTTATTACTCATTTATTTGTTTCGCTCTTCTTCCTCTCTCAGCAAGCTTCATGTAGATGGGTATGAATAGATTTTTCCTCTGGCTTATTTCATTTTGAAGTCATATTTACTTAAAGCCTTTTGAAGGCCCAAAATCTATGTCTTCAAATATACAAGCTGATTTTTTAAAAAAGGTTTTATTTTTATAAAAGATGTTGTATTTTCTAAAGGTTTCAGAACCTAAATTTGAGATTTGTGTGTGTCCTGGAATATAAAATCTTATTCTCCCTGTTTCTCTCTTTTTTTGTTTGTTTTGTTTTGCTCTTTATTTCCTTTCTGTGTTAATGGATATCTCTGACTGAATTGGGGTGAAAAAATGTTGCCAGAAAGGTTAAGGAGATAATATGAGCAGGCTTAGGAACTTTCATTTGTTTTTGCAAAGGAAATTATGTGTCTTATACCATCATCAGCACGAGTGAGGGAGTGAGAGCTGCCTTGAAGATTTATTTATTTTTATTGGAAAGGCAGATCAGATTTACGAGAGAAAAGACAGAAAGATATGTTATCGATGGATTCACTCCCCAAATAGCTGTAATGGTCAGAGCTGAGCCGATCCAAAACCAGCAGCTTTTTCCAGATCTTCTGCATGAATGCAAGGTCCCAAGGATTTTGTGCCATCCCCTAATGCGTTCCCACTATGCTAGCCAGGAGCTGGATGGGAAGTGGAGCAGCCAGAACATGAAGCTATGTCCATATGGGATCCCGGTGCTTGCAAGGGGAGGCTTGAACTGTTGGGCCATTGCACTGGGCCCAAGAGCCCCTTTAAAAAAGTGAGATGTGCACAGTAAATGCACTCATTTAGAATTAGTAAAATTCAACTGTGAAAAAATGTAATTTGTGCTTACATCAGTAATAAATGGGTATATAAAATAAAATTAGGGGGCTGGGGCAATAGTTCAGTGGCTAAAGCCCTTGCCTTGCATGTGCCCCTATTCTGTATAGGCGCCGATTTGAGTCCCGGCTGCCCCATTTCCTATCCAGCTCCCTGCTTGTGGCCTGAGGAGGCAGGGGAGGACAGCCCAAAGCCTTGGACCCTGTGCCTGCGTGGAGAAAGTTCCTGGCTCCTGGCTTCAGATTGACTTAGCTTCGGCCATTGCAGCCATTTGGGCGGTGAATTAGCAAACAGATGATCTTCCTCTCTGTCTCTCTTCTGAAGATCTGGTTTTTCCAATAAAAATAAATCTTATAAAATATAATGTTACATAATTTATGTCTCAAAATGCTATTAAAATGTTTAAAACACTTTATCATTGGAAAGACAGAGTTACAAAAAATGTGTCATGGTGGGAGAGGTTACTTGGATCTCTGGGTTCACTTCTCAGATGTGTTTAAAGATGAATTGTCCGGGCCCAGCACGGTGGCGCAAGTGGTTAAAGGTCCTCGCCTTGCACGAGGGCCGGTTCTAATCCCAGCAGCCCCGCTTCCCTTCCAGCTCCCTGCCTGTGGCCTGGGAAAGCAGTCGAGGACGGCCCAAAGCCTTGGGAACCTGCACCCGCGTGGGAGACCTGGAAGAGGCTCCTGGCTTCGGATCGGGCATAGTATCGGCCTGTTGCGCTCACTTGGGGAGTGAATCATCGGATGGAAGATCTTCCTCTCTGTCTCTCCTCTCTGTATATCTGCCTTTCCAATAAAAAAATAATAAAAATAAATCTTTAAAAAAAAAAGATGAATTGTCCAACGTCACTCAAGTGTCCCAAAGTGGAATCTGGGCATTTGGGGAACAGTTTTTGCTCTTTTCGCTTGTGTGATGACAAATGCTACTAAAATTTCTCTATTCTCAAAGTCCTTTTCATGAGCCTGTGAAAATATGGTTTATGTCCTCTTTTAGAGTAGTGATTTTCCTTGTATTTGTTCACTGTCCAGCAGTTAGGGACTTAGTACACGGAGCCAGTCATCATACATAAGGACTACTGTTTCATGGTCAATAGCTGAAGTTTTATTAACAGCAAAACACTTTTAAAGACTGTGGGTTGTGTAGGCATAAGGAAGGTTTGAAACAGAACGTAGTCTCTGTGCTAGCATGTGATGGGGAGTCAATAGTAGACAATGTGTCATGTTAGACATACTGATTTACACGTGGCCTTTTTAAAACTGTAATGTATTATATACAGTTTCTTTATCTGTACATTAAAACCACCTCATCCCGTTTAATTGCTGCAACGTATTCCACGGCATCCATGTACAGAACTTACTCATCAATGGATGGGACACTTTTCTTGTTCTAACTTTTCATTATTGTAAATGATGTTTCAATGAAATATTAAATATTTGATCAGTTCCTAAAAAGTAGAAATACATTTTGATAGATCTTTTTCATTGTGCCTCCATAGCTCTTCAGTCTGTCTTTTTCCTGACTGGTAAATACAGTAATATCACTTTTGGATGATTGTGTTTGTTACCTGAACTTTTATTTTCTGTTCCTCTATATTCTTTTCTAATAGTAAGAGGAATTATTCTATACAGTCATGTTGCTATTTTTTTCAGAAATAGGCATAAACATATTTGACATAGAATGTGTAGCTGGCATTCTCATTGTGAAGTCATAGTCTAATTATTTTTATTGAAAATTTGCATTTTTAAGGATGTTTTCTTAAATTAATCCCACCTGGATCCTAGATATTACGGTCTTAAGATTTCTTTGCAACAGAATAAATATGTGACAGCTAACAGTTTATAGTGCTTCAGTATTAGAATTTTGCTTTAAAATATCATTTGGAATAGTAACCTAGAACTTGTACCTTGAAGTCAGGGACAGTGTTTTTTTCTGATTGTCTTTGGTATCATATGCTATATAGAAGAGTATAATTTATGTTAAAACTTTCTTAATATGTGTCTTTTATTCATTTTGATTTGTGGCTGGGCAGATTCTAAGTTATATATTGACAAACTATACCCCAAATCCTGCCCTTCATACCCTTTTTATAATTTTTTACTGGAATATATTCATACTCATTCATTTATATATTGTCTGTGAGTTGCTTTGTGCTACTGTGATAGAATTGAATCATTGCAACTGCATGGCTTCCAAAATTTGAAGTATTTACTCTGACCATATGCTACCCCCTGTTTAGAATATAATCATCTTGGCATTAATAGATATTTTTTCTTTGTAGAGCAAGTAGTAGTGTGTTTCACCCAAACTCTGCATGATTTATATATTTATTCAAAAATCTGCACAAGCAAAGCTACTGGGAAATTCCTCAAAGTTATTCTGCTGGCTGGGGGGCAGTACCTGTATACTAATTTTGGTAACTTTTTCCTTCCAAGGAGATTATACCTACTTTGTGACAGGTCTTCTTTCTCTATCACCTAGCTAACTCATGCACTCACACTTGGTTATTCTTACCAATCTGATGGAGAAAAATTATACTGTAGGTTTTATTTATGTTTGTTTGTATGTGCTGGATTAACTTTTGTGTTTAGAAGTCATTTGTGGGTTTTTTTTTCCTTAATTTTTCTTTTATTGTCCCTGCTATTACTTTGTTTTTGTGTTCATATTGGATATGCCATGAACGTTTGTCAAAATAGATTTAATTTTAAGGAGAACATCACAGTGATAAAGCCGATAATATGTAAGATTGAAATGCATATTATTTGTGAAAAAATTTTTTCTAGACTCAAACTATCATGTTTTAAGTGTTAACTGTTTCCTGGATACAATCTGTTGGTTGGTATTTTTTGTTGTATTTATTTGAAGTGCAGAAATTTAAGAGAGAATATCTTCCATCTGGTGGGTCACTCCCCAGATGCCCTCAACAGTTGGTATTGGGCAGTCCAAGCCTAGAACTCAGTCTGTATCTTCTTTTTTTTTTTTTTTTTTTTAAAGATTTATTTTTATTATTTTTTTTTATTGGAAAGGCAGATATACAGAGAGGAGAGACAGAGAGGAAGATCTTCCATCCGATGATTCACTCCCCAAGTGAGCGCAACGGGCCGATACTATGCCGATCCGAAGCCAGGAGCCTCTTCCGGGTCTCCCACGCGGGTGCAGGGTCCCAAAGCTTTGGGCCGTCCTCTGCTGCTTTCCCAGGCCACAGGCAGGGAGCTGGAAGGGAAGCGGGGCTGCCGGGATTAGAACCGGCGCCCATATGGGATCCCGGGCGTGCAAGGCGAGGACCTTTAACCACTTGCGCCACCGTGCCGGGCCCAGTCTGTATCTTCTACATGTCGTTTTGTTATCACCTGCTAACTCTTACGGTACACATTAACAGAATACTGGAATCAGAATTGGGAGTGGAGATGAGCTCCAGGCACTTTTGTGTTAGATATTGTAGCATGTGTCTACCCTGCCTCATTATTTGCATTTGATATATGAAAATTACCATTTTCTGTTTGTCTTCTACAAGGCATTTTTTAAATATGTGGAATTTATCCCCTAGATACTGCTAAAGAGTGAGCCACACAACATTCTCTTCCCCAGCACAAATGACAATGTTAATACTTTGCTGTGACATTGAAAGGATGTGATGATCTTCTTGCCTTATTTTCGGTGTTTGGATGGCTTTTTTAGTGCTTTATTATTTATTTCTTAATGGTTTTATTATATTTCTGTGACTTAAAAGTGAACTTTTAGAAAGGTTACATTGCTCACTATTGTCTCATGCAAAATATATTTATCTTTCCCTTATTGCTCTGTAGGAACTCATTATACAATGACAAATGGAGGCAGCATTAACAGTTCTACACATCTACTGGATCTTTTGGATGAACCAATTCCAGGTGTTGGTACATATGATGACTTCCATACTATTGACTGGGTACGAGAAAAATGTAAAGACAGAGAAAGGCATAGACGTGTAAGTGTTTTCTATACTTCTTCTTTATATAATATGTAATTACTTCATTTAATAATGTAATTCTGCTAGTGCTCTCAGGTTACCAATGTATATGTTACAAATTAAAGTATTTTTAGATAGTTTTGCATTTCATACGTAATTTTTTTCTCTTCATGTTTTTTGTGTTTATTGTTTATAACTCATATCTTTCTGGAAGTGATTAAAAGAATAGGAGGGAAAGGAGAAAACAATGTAGAAGTTTAGAAAAGATCAAGTTAATTTGAAAGTAATTTTTATTTTTGTCTTTGAGCAGTCCAGCAGCTAAGACAAAAGAGGAAACTTGATACAAGGCTCCTTTTTTTTCCCCTAAGATTTATTTGTTTTTAGTGGAAAGGTAGATTTACAGAGAGAAGGAGAGATAGAAAGATCTTCCATCCACTGGTTCACTCCCTAAATGACCAGAGCTGAGCTGATCTGAAGTCAAGCACTTCTTCCAAGTCTCCCATGTGGGTGCCAGGTCCCAAGGCTTAGGGCCATCCTCCAGTTCTTTCCCAGGCCATAAGCAAGGATTCACCACTTTGTGTAGATATTTCAAATGTTGATAATTTTCGTTATAAAATACCATCACATAATTTCAAAAAATCACTGATTTTAATATTAAGCTACCATTATTACCTCTAATCCCTTTAGTAAGTTTGCTTAATATTAGGAAACTAGCATCTTCACAATGATGATTGCAAGTTTTCCAAAAAAATGTTTGTATATAAGATTGAACTATTTATTTTTATTGGAAAGACAGATTGACACACCTTGCATCCTTTTCTTCATTCCCCAAATGGCTGCAGTAGCTGGAACTGGGCATTCTGAAGCCAAGAGCCAGGAGCTTCTTCCTGGTCTCCCACTTTGGTCTCCAGCACTCATATGGGATGCTGACATTTGGAGGCGGAGGATTATTAAGCTGAGCCTGTGCACTGGCCGCAAAATCTTAATATTTATTTGAAAGCTCAAATTCTGTTATTTATAAACAAATACATATCCGTTGTATTATTAAGTAGCTTGTATATGATTATACATATTTAGGTTGCTTGAAAGTCGGAGTTACTTGATTCTTTACTAAGAAGATGCCTGTCGGATTCTGAAGGTAGAAGAGCTATAGTTTAGTTTGTCACATTCTCATTTCAGAAGACCTGTTGTTGATTTCAGTCTTTTTTTTTTAAGTTAACATACAGTTTCCAGTAATTGGATAGTTTTATTTTCTACTTCAAAAGTCACAAGTGCTTTTTCCTTGGAACATCATGTTTGTAGGCAGCAAAGATGCTACATGTGTAATTCTTATTCCATCAAATAATATTTAATACTATTAATACTAAAAAGAATTGTGGTATAATTTTCACTGCTTCATAAAGCTGATTTTAAGTAAAATCGGCTTTTTATCAAACAGAAACTTGGAGGCCTGGCAGTCCAATATGCAGCAACTACCGGTACATTTAGATTCCATTACCTGATTTATCCTAAGGAGCTAGAAGTTTTGCCATAGCTTTTTGTTAATGGTAAAAATGTTAGCACAGTGAAAAAGGCACATGGTATCTTAGTCTAATTATGTGAAGAGTCTTGATCTTACAGATTCCTTAGAAGATCTCGGGGACCCTTTGAGAAGCTGTTGTTTTAATTCAAAGTGCTGAGGTCAGACAAAGTAAATTCTTTTTGTCTTTTGTGATTAAAAAGTAAATATAATTGTATGTGTAAGTGTTCATTTGGAGGCCCTGAGTGGTGGTGCCCTGAGACTGTTAGACTAAGTGTCTACAAAATCTTAAGAGAAAATTGAAACTAAAAGAAAGAAAAAATTTCCTTTCTTCTGATTGTTTACAGTCCTTGAAAACATTCCAAATAGTATAGCAATCTATGAAGTACCCTAATCAATTATGTGCTTTTGCTAGTCATATCAATCATCTCTTCTTAGCCAGGTTTCTTTTTTTAAATGGTTATTTTAATTTACTTGAGAGATAGAGAAACAGAGACAGAGGCATTTTCCCTCAACTCGTTCACTTTCAAAATGCCTGCAACAGCCAAGGCTGGGCAGGCCAAAACCGAGAGCCCAGAGCTCCCTCCGGGTTTCTCACATGGCATTGGCAAGCCCAAGAACCGGAGCTGTCATTTGCTGCCTCCCAAGGTGCTCCGGTAGGGACCTAAATAGTAAGCAGAGCACCTGGGACTTGAACCGGCCCTCCAGCCTGGGATGCAGGCATCCCACATAGCAGTACCTACTCTAGTGAAGTTATTAAAATTTATGATTCTTGATTATATAAATGTAAAAAATTTTTAACGCTGAGAAATTTCTTATGGATGTTCTTACTGTTATTAATTTAACATCTGTTTATTTATCTGTTTACTTATTATTTGTCAGAGCTTTTCTTTTCTTTTGAAAGACAGAGGTGGTTACAGAGAAGCAGCTCCCATGCAGCTTTTTGTTCCCCAAATGCCCACAATGGCTGGGCTGAGCTGAAACCTACGGCAATAAGTTTTCCCAAGTGGGTGTGGGAACCCAGTTACTTGAGCCATTACTCCTGCATTCAGTGATCTTCATTAGTAGGCTGTTGGAGGCAGGCGCCAGAGGCTGGTGCTAAACCCACACTCTCCGATATGGCACATGAGCCTCTTCACTTCTAGGTTTAATGTCTGTCCTGTCAGAAGCTTTTATCATAATTGTAGCTCTCAACTCTAAGATGATTTTGAAGCAGATTGACATATTATTCCAGTACTTCACAAGATAATGATAGACTGAATCTGTGCTATAGCAGATATTTGGCTTCCCGAAGTACACACAATACTGTTAAAGGGAGGATGTTTGAACTGGCATGGATTGCTGCCATCACCAACACTGTACTTATCAAAATCCTTAAGAGTTTTCTTTTTCTATTTTACTTTATGTCTGGAATTTTTCCCATTTGGATTATAAATGGAAATTATTTTGTTTTAAAATCCCTTGGATGGGCCATGTGAGGTAGCCTAGTGGATAAAGTGATCACCTTGCATGCACCGGGATCCCATATGGGTGCTGGTTCATGTCCCAGCTGCCCACTTTCCATCCAGCTCCCTGCTTGTAGTCTGGGAAAGCAATTGAGGACAGTCCAAAGCCTTGGGACCCTACACCCGCATGGGGGACTCGGAAGAAGCCCCTCCTTGCTTTGGTCAGCTCAGCTCTGGCCATTGCGGCCACTTAGGGAGTGATCCACTGGATGGAAGATCTTTCTCTCTGTCTCTCCTTCTCTCTATAAATCTGACTTTCTAATCAAAATAAATAAAGCAAACAAGCAGAAGTCTCCTGGAATAGTTTCCTGACTGTCATTATGTTACCAGTTGGTGCATTTTATATTCACTTGCTTAATTTTCTTTACCATTTTAAGGATTATTTTCAGATTTAGTTTTGATAGTTATATAAAAATTATTTCAGTGGTTTTAAGGTTGAATGAACAAAATTGATAAAAAGAAACTTCTATTTCTGTTCCTTCCAACTGATTGTCTTCCTCTATTTATAAATAATGATTTATATTTTCAGCTTAATGCTTTATCCCTCCATTGTAAATACAAAACCTGTTACATATTCATTTTAGTTTCTTAGATAAAACAGTTGTATACTTTTAGTCATCTTTTTTTTTTTCTATATAATTTGCATCTGAGCCTGGTGTGGTAGCCTAACAGCTAACATCCTTGCCTTGCACACACTGGGAATCCATGTGGGCGCCGGTTTTAGTCCTGGCCGCCCTGCATCCCATCCAGCTTCCTGCCTGTGGCCTGGGAAAGCAGTCCAGGACAGCCCAAAGCCTTGGGACCCTGCACCCATGTGGGAGACCTGGAAGAGGCTCTGGGCTCCTGGCATTGGATCAGCTCAGGTCTGACCATTGCGGCCACTTGTGTAGTGAATCTGCAGATGGAAGATCTTCCTCTCAGTCTGTCCTCCTCTCTGTATATCTGACTTTATAATAAATAAAATAAAATAAAATAAATCTATATATAAAAAAGAAAGTACTGCTTTGAGTCTAAAAACTGAGACAAATTGCTAGGTTCTAGAATTGTGGCTTCTGTTTGTAATTTGAAAAGTGAAGCATGAACACTTCTTGTTTCAGATCAACAGCAAAAAGAAAGAATCAGCATGGGAAATGACAAAGAGCTTGTATGATGCGTGGTCAGGATGGCTAGTAGTAACACTAACGGGATTGGCATCAGGTAAAAATAATGTAAAAGCAATCTGTTTTTAATTAAAGTAACTGTAAGTCATTCTCCCTCTTTCACACAATTCTTTTTGTTTCAAGTACTGTTGAATCTTTTTTAAAATCACTATTTTTATTATTGGATTTTAAAACATTTGTTTTTCTCCATTAAAAAATCTTAAGTGTAAGACTATGATGTGGGAGGTTTCCAAATCTCTTTTTTTAACAACTTGATTGATTGTTAAGGGCCTTAACTTCCAAACTGAAATAATTGATTTGAGCTTCACTGTTCTAAAAAAATCACATGGGCGTTATGTAAACTTCATGGCGATCTTGTGGTAGAAGTACCATCATAACCATCCTATAGATACAGAGACTGAAGCAGGATTTAAGTAACTGACAAGGAAATAAATAGCTCAGCTGAGGTCATGTACTTAGTGTATGGCTGTGGCAGAACTTGAACCCAAGTGGTCTGGCTCATGAGCCTGCTCCCTTAATCATCATGTTATGTAGAGTGGCCACGATGTCACTATTTTTGAGACTCTAGGAAACAGCAGTTGAAGATCTGAAAGTGAATATTAAGGATTGTTTCAGTGACTTTCACCTTCCATCGTGGAAGACTGTGCAGAAGAACATGAAATGTTAAATTTTTATGGAAGGAAATAGTAATTGGCATACCTAAGAATGTTATAGCTTTTGTGTGTATGAACCATGAATCTTTCATGTGATCAGGACCCAGATTTGATCAGAAGTTTGTATGTATCTTTTGAATTCTACCAGTAAAATAATCTCAGTCTTTTTGGTTTGTTGCTTAAGAAAAAACTGCTTATCTGTCGCAGTAATTCTTGAATGCTGTGATTGACTATTTCTAATAGACATTAAATTTTATTCTGTTAACTGGATTTTGGATTAAAATTTGCTAGATTTGTGAATCTCCTTCCAAGTAACATTTCATAGATGCTTCAGTGTCTTTTAAATACCTTTTTAAAATAGCAAGTTGTTTGATTTGGCTGATATTTATTCCAAAGAATAACTGTTTACAGTGAAGGAGTATACAGTAAATAGAAAACCTACTTGCTGTTTTAAAAAGTAATGTAAAGATTTTAAATTAAAATAGAAATTTTTCAATTTATGTAACAATTCGTAATGACCCTTTGTTTACTTATAGGGAATTCTTTGCTTGCTTTTTGCTTCTTACATAGATCATTGATAGCACAAAACTGGATTTTTTGTTGTTATTATTTTACCACCTCTATCATGTTTTTACAGGGGCCTTGGCTGGATTAATAGATATTGCTGCTGATTGGATGACTGACTTGAAGGAGGGCATTTGCCTTAGTGCATTATGGTACAACCATGAACAGTGTTGTTGGGGGTCTAATGAAACAACATTTGAAGAGAGAGATAAATGTCCACAGTGGAAAACCTGGGCGGAATTAATCATAGGCCAAGCAGAGGTAAGACTTGCTTTGTCTTTAGACAGACTAATAATTGATAATAGCAGAGTCTCCAAATCATTTAATTATAGAACCCACATATTATACTGAATGTAACCTGTATTAAATGAAAAATGCAAACAAAAAACCCAGAATAGAATGGAAAATATGAAGATACGTTACAACAGGAAAGAAATAGTACAGGTAGAATATCCCTAATTTGAAAACTGTGAAATCTGATATGCTCCCCAATTTAAATCTTTTTGAGTGCTGATGTGACTCCCCAAGTGGGAAGTTGCACACTCTGTGTGAAGAGTTGAAGTCAAAATGAATATACACTTAAAATATTGTGTAAGTGACATTCAGGCCATATTTAGGAAGTATATATAGAACAAGTGAATTTCATAAGGGAATGTATTTCTGTGAAAATATCTGATATACATGTAAATATTACAAAATAAGAAAAATATCTAAAACATTTCCATTCTTACTCATTTTAAAGAGGCGAACTCAGTGCATTATTTCAGAAAACATTTTTAAAAAGGTTTATTACTTTTTATTGGAAGGGCAGATCCGATTTACAGAGAGACAGAAAGACCTTCATTTGCTAGTTCACTCCCCAAATGACTGAAATGGCTGGAGCTGAGCCAATCCAAAGGCAGGAACCAGGACATTCTTTCTGGTCTCACACATGGTTACAGGGCCCCAGGGCTTTGGGCGCTCTGTTGCTTCCTTACACATTTAGCAGGGAGCTGCATGGGAAGTAGAGTAGCTGGAATGCAAACTGGTACCCATATGGGATCCTGGCACTTGTAAGGAAAGGGTTTAGTTGTTGAGAAATCACTTTGGACCCTCAAGTTTTTTTTTTTTAATTAACCACATAGTTATATACAAGTTCATTGGCTTTATTGCAAATATCTGTGTAAAGTTAACATAAAGTTCCATTTTTAAAACTTTATATCCCGGGCCTAGCGTGATAGCATAGTGGCTAAAGTCCTCTCCTTGAACGCACCAGGATCCCATGTGGATGTTAGTTATAATCTTGGCAGCACTGCTTCCCATCCTGTTCCCTGCCTGTGGTCTGGGAAAGCAGTCAAGGATGGCCCAAAGCCTTGGGTTCCTGTTTCTGCATGGGAGACCCGGAAGAAGTTCCTGGCTCCTGGTTTCAGATTGGCTCAGTTTCAGCTGTTGCGGCTGCTTGGGGAGTGAACCATCAGATGGAAGAGTTTCCTCTCTGTCTCTCCTCCTCTGTGTATATCTGCCTTTCCAATAAAAATAAAATTAAAAAAAAAGCTTTATATCTCTAAAATCACGAAATATGCATTATGAGTAAGTCAGTTAAAATAGCGCTTTGTAAAAAACGTTGAGGGCTGGTGTTGTGTAGTTACATCCTATGTGAGTGCTGGTTCATGTCCTGCCTGTTGTATTTCTGATCCAGCTCTTTGCTAATGTCCCCTGGGAAGCAATGAAAGGTGACACAAGACTTTAGACCATCTGTATTGCCTCTATGCATGTGGGAGACCTGGAAGAAGCTCCTGACTTTGCCTTGGCGCAGCCCTGGCTGTTGCAGCCATTTAGGAAATGAACCAGTGGAAGATAGAAGATCTCTGTCTCTCCCTCATTTTAAGATTTTTTCCCTTTTTTTATTTGAACTTAATCCTGTCTGAAGATTCTTTGTCACATCAAATGTGTCTCTACCCTAAGCTGCCATCTTGCCTCCAACTCTTTATTTATTTGAAAGATGGAAAGAGACCAGATAGAGAGAGACCACCTTCAGATTCATGCAAGAGTTGGGGCTGAGCCAGGAAAAGCCAGAAAGCAGGAACTCCATCCAGGTTCCTGCTCTGCAGGAGCCCAAACACTTGAGCCATCATTGGTACCTCCTGGGGATAACAAGAAGTCACAAACAGAAGGGGAGCCAAGACTTGAACCAGGCACTCTAATGTGGGATGTAGGTGTCCCAAACAGATTCTTAAGTCTTGTGCAAAATTCTTATCCCTAAAATAAGCCTTCTCAATGGATATATCTGTTCATTATTATTTTTTTAAAGGTTAATTTATTTCTGTTTGAAAGACAGAGTTACATAGAGAAAAGGAAATACAGAGAGTTCTTGCATTTTCTAGTTTACTGCCCAAATGGCCACAGTGTCCAGAGCTGGGCCATTCCTAAAAACAGGAGCCAGGAGCTTCTTCCAGGTCTGTAACTTCTAACAGGTCTTCTTGTCATGGCTTCCCGGGCCATTTATCAGAGAATTGGATCTGAAGTAGAGCAGGCGGGACATGAACTAGCACCACAGACAGAGGATTAGTGTGCTACACCATGGCACTGGCCCCCTAAATAGATATATCTTAAAGAAATTAAGATATTTTGCATTGTGCTATACTATACTTAATAATTATATTACTTTTGTGATGGTATATAATAAAAATATGTTAGAATTCAGAATATAATACATATTGTTACATAACCATATGTGTATTTAAACTTTTGTAATCTATGCTTTAAAACAAGAATATATTTACTGGTGAGATGTGTAGTGTGCTATTTGTCATCTTGCCTATCTGAACTGAATTTAATTTTTTGGTATTCAAGAGAATTGTAGTAGAATGAAATTTGAGTGCCAGTGCAATTTTTTTTCTCCAACTGTCTCAAGAAAATGGTTTGTAGATAAGCAGAGGTGTACGTATTTTTTCTTCTGTGAATAAAACAGGACCCTTGGGTCTGACACTAATGGGTAGTGGTCTAAGTGTATCCAGGAAGGGTGTCAGTTTGAGTGCTGGCTGCTCTACCTCTAATCTGGCTCTCTGTTGATGTGCCTGGAGAAGTAGCAGAAGGTAGCCCATGTGTGTGGCACCTCTGCTCTTAGGTAGAAAACCTGGAAGAAGCTCCTTGGTCCTGGCCTTGGCCTGACCCAGCCCTGAATTTGCAGCAATTTGGGGAGTGAACCTAATGAAAGACTTCTCTCTGTAACTCTGCTTTTCAAATAAATCAAGTAAATCTTTTAAAAAGAGAGATGAGAAGGAAGGAAAGAAGAAAAGAAACAAATCATATACATAGTTTACCTGGCAAGTGCTTGCATTAGAGTGCTTACTCTGTAAGTTCAATTAAAACTATTGAATTATTTGCTTTTTTAGGGTCCTGGTTCTTACATCATGAACTATATAATGTACATCTTCTGGGCCTTGAGTTTTGCCTTTCTTGCAGTTTCCCTGGTAAAAGTATTTGCTCCATATGCCTGTGGCTCTGGAATTCCAGAGGTAAGTCATTTCAGTGTCATTGAGCAATAATTGTTACAGCACTGTGCTTTTGGCCTTTGAGAAAGAAAAAGTTTTGGAAAGATGGTTGGTTTGTAATATGCAAAAGAAAAATTTCAGAACTATAAGCTGGTTGGTTGCTGATGTCATTAAATTTTTTTCTCCCTAATTATTTCATCGCTATTATAGAGGTTGCTTTGTTTTTCCTCTCACCAGTCATTTAGCACATGATTAAACAGATTCTTAGAAAAGGGTCTGGAAAAGTATCCTATGACCCTAGTTCTTTGATGGATTATTTGAAGTTTTCAAATTAGAAGCCTGATTTTAATATATTTTTTATCTTTTTCCTAAGTATCTTCTGATTAGATAAGGCAATGATTCTTGAATTTATATTTTGAGAAAACATTTGATCTCATTAGATTAATACTGGCAAGTTTTGAGTTATACTTTTCATCAAAAACAACAGGGGATTTTACTCAGGATTGAACTATTATGTGAATTACTTTCTTTGTTTTTCTGTTCTTGAACAAATTACTAGTTCTTTGTCTAGTATTAAATTATATTCATTTTAAAGGCTATATTAGCATCTTTAATAAAGATCAGTATTATGCGTACTTATTCATTGTCTTTCTTGATTCGTAGAAAATGATCTACATAAAGCGTTATGTTTTTATTTTTGACATAATATAGGAAATGTATATAATTATGGTATGCTTATTTTTATAACACAAGTATTCATATTTGCCTCTTCCTGATGTATAATTATAACCCTTTTAATTATAGCCTGTATTCATTTTAACATGGCTTGATATTTAGATTTTGTTCATTAGAATTAAAACATGATACAGATTTATTATACGTAGCATACTAGTTTTTAAAAAATTGTGAATTTTCCCATTGTTTGCCAAAATTTACAAGGCAGTTTTATGAGAATGCAAATACGTATATATAAACGTATTTGTTATATATATAAAATCTGTGCATATGGATTAATTAGAATATCCTTTTTCTTAATGAAAATTAAACTGTCTTAATATTTATTTTGTAGATTAAAACCATTTTGAGTGGATTCATCATCAGAGGTTACTTGGGAAAATGGACTTTGATGATTAAAACCATCACTTTAGTATTGGCTGTGGCATCAGGTTTGAGTTTAGGAAAAGAAGGTCCCCTGGTCCATGTTGCCTGTTGCTGCGGAAATATTTTTTCCTACCTCTTCCCAAAGTATAGCACAAATGAAGCTAAAAAAAGGGAGGTAAGTGTGTCTTTGTTTTGTTCATTGACAAAAAGAAGAAAAATAGCTGTTATATAGACTTTATATTGGTGAAGCATTTCTGGGACAAGTATTGTGATGTAGTAGTTAAGCCACTGCCTGAGATGCCCATGTCCCAAATTCTTGTAGCTTTTCTTTACTGTGGAAGAATTTTATTTCTTTTTCAAAGATGAAAGAAAGCTTTGCTGGGTATGTTATCCTAGGCCAGCCTTGATTTGCTTTACTGATTCCTTAAATTTTTTGAACTCTTGAATGAGCTTCTCATTTTTGACCAGAATCTTCAAAATGAGTCTTATGGATTCTGTGTCCCCCATTTTCTCAATGTCTTCCTCAGTTAACTCTGAGGTTGGGATAGGGTTTTGCTCCTTTGCCGGGGAGTGCTCAGTAATATTCATTGTGCCTTTGTCTCTTCTTTTGCTCTTGATCATTGTACTTCTGGTTAGCAGAATCTTCTTCTTGGGGCAGGTTTCTAAGCTGTGTCATCCACAGATCTACAATGCGATTTTACTTATTGCAGTTGGCACACAACTTTTTGCTTGCAGCCACTGGTGCCACAACCTCCAGCAAGTTCCAGGTCTAGGTTCTTATGTCAGATATCCACCGTGGTCTCCACAGCCCCAGCTCTTGGCTTACCACTCTCCACCTTGTGATACCGTGCTGAGGCTGCACTGTTGTCTCTGCAACCTTTCTCCCTCTTCTGGTTGGAGTGGGTTCCAGGATTAGAGAGACACCAGGTGTCCTATCTAGTTAGGTTGTTGGTGGCGCTGATCTTGTTGGAACCTGTTGGACGTTAGGTCTGGGTGCCGGTCAAAAAATCCTATTTTGACTGGTACAATGTCACAGTCGGTATTATTTTCCTACGGGACCTCAGCAAGTTCTCATGAGCTCAGCACGTGCGCAGTTCTCTGTTGTCCCCTGCCGTCCCAAAGCTTTTGCCACAGTGCACAAAATAGAGCCTGACGTGCTCTCACAACAGTTCTTGATCTGCTGGCTGTCAGATCCGAGGGCTATCCAGACATGCCCCAGATGGAACCCGTAGAATACCACGTTGTTGCAGTTCACTGAGTCAGAAATGAGCTCACTCCCTGCTCAGAGCATGCTCAGTCCTTTCCCTTTTCTCCTTACACAAAATGGTGCCCAATTCAGCTCCAAGGGGCTGAGTGGGCTATGAAATTCACTCTGTTCTCGCACTGCAAATCAAAGGGACCAGCAGGATGGACAGTGTTTTGTCTGGGTTCACCTCCCAAGCTCCCAGTGAAAGTTCCTTCCCACCTGGTTGCTGGTGGAGTTCCGGCTGCTGGTCGAGTTCAGATCGCCGTGCTGGAGTATCATTCACTGCAACACCACACTGCTGTGCCCGCTGCTTTCCTGTGTCTGTCAGTCTGCAGGTACCCCTCTGCTGTTGTTCTGTCCTTTCCTATTTCCTGAAATATGTCCTCTCTGCTTCATCCTGATTAAATGTTTCTCTGTCTGATTAAACGTGTCCTTACCCTATTCCTCCATCTTGATTCCCTCAGTTTCCTGAATCTTTTATTATTTTTTTAATTTAAAGATTTATATCTTTTTATTGGAAAGTTAGATTTACAGAGAAGAGGAGAGACAGAAACATCTTCCATCCTCTGGTTCACTCCTGAAGTGGCTGTAATGGCCGAACTGAGTCGATCTGAAGGCAGGAGCCAGGAGCCTCCTGCATGTCTCCCATGTGGGTGCAAGGTCCCAAGGCTCTGGGCCATTCTCAACTGTTTTCCCAGGCCACAAGCAGGGAGCTGGATGGGAAGTGGTGCTGCCAAGATATGAACCGGTGCCTGTGTGGGATCCTAGCACATGCAAGGCGAGGATTTAGCCAGTAGGATTCTGTGCCCAGCCCAGTTTTCTAAATCTTTAAAAATATATATAAATAAATAAAAATTGCTTCTCCTTTCATGGCACAGAGATCTTTGGGTTCTTAAGCTGTGATGTTGTATTTATCTCAGGGAGACAACTCAAAGGTGTGTGATCCAGCACAGAACCTTTCAGACTGCTGGTTTTCTTTTGCATTGCAGCCGAAAAGTGGATGTTTTATAAAAATAATTTTCAGTTGAAATAATTCTGCTATTCCTTAAAATTACCATAAATGTATCGTCCTTACATTGATGGTAGATATTTCAGAAGTGGAGCACTTCAGAGCATCATAACACTACCTCTAAATAATTGGTTCCAGTACTTTGCTATGTAACAAAAATAGCCGTCCTTATTGAATACTCACTGTGTATCTAGTACTATGAAAGGTACTTTTGACTTGCATATTGGAATTTAATACCAAGACAATTCTAGTACTGTGGCATTGTTATTCATAGATTAGGAAGCCAGGGTTTAAAATGTTGGACAAGCTTGCCAAAAGGTCTCAAGTGGCTAGTGGCAGCACATGGATTCGAATTAATTTTTTGTTACCCCAGTTTCTGTTCTTTACCATTACCATACTGCTGCAACTGTTGTTGTTGATTAAAACTGTTGCATTTACTTTCCCAATTCAGTTCTCCTACTTAATGTTGAAATATTTGTGAATAATTTTTAATGTAGTCATATAAGTTAAATGTAATTTGTTAGAAAATGCTACACTACTTAAACGAATACACCTACAATTTAGTGTATCTGTATATTCATTAATTAATGTTATGACATTATTAATCATTGTAGTAAACAAATGGCAAGATTTTACTTGTTGAAATCATGTAGGCCCCATATTTTGATGTGCTTGTGTGCCTACTTTGATGTGCTTTAAAAGTGATTCTTAGTTATTTGAAGCAAATTCAAACGTGTGATTTATAGATACATGCTGTTGGCTTGATTATAAAATTCTGTTAAAGTATAAATTTAGAACATTCAATAAATGTTTTGTATGGGATCCTACTGGTGGAGAAAAGTGGAAGTGAAATGTGCTTCCTTTTCTGTTTCAAATAGAACCCTTGTCTGTACTAAGTTGCACTTAAAACAAATTCCAGTTAATTTTTGATTTCCAGACCTGATGAGGTGTTTACTGAATGCCAGGTGCTGCTCTAAGCACGGTTTATGCATTTATCTCACTGTTATGGGCTTGGTAATATCGCATTTCCATTTTAGAGAAGGAGAAGCCAGGGTACATAGCGTGAAGTTGAATAACTAGCAAGTGGCAGCGCCAGGATTTGTAACAGCAGTTTGACTACGGAGTTCCTGTTCTTAGTCATTCACAGCTTAATTTTTACTATTTCTGATTTCTTTTTCATAAATATTAAAATGTGCCATTTGAGAAAGTGCTTTAGATAGCCTCAGATGTTTGTCTGGTTTAAAGTACTGGGAGTATTAAAGACTCAAGAAAGTCATTGTAAACAGTGCCCATTGAAGTTATATTTGTGCTTGATGCTGTAATGCTGGGATGCAGGCAGAGACTAAGGGAAAGACTGTGCAGTTGGAATCCAGAAGAGTGTGTGGATATTTCTTTTTCTTTCAGTTGATGAAACTGTACCTTGAGGAGCTGTGTTCTATATTTCCAGAATGAGACTCTGTGTATTGACAATAGCATGTTTTCAGAGGGTTAGGATAATAAAAATACAAGGAAATGGAATAGGTTTTAATTCTCTGGAAATCCTGCTAGGATTTAGAATAATTATTAATGTTCAAATAGTGTGCTCTAAAATCTGAAGAAACAATATCCTTTAAGTAAACAAAACTCTTCCCCAAATCCCAGTTAATACTCTGTTCTCTTGTCCACATGACATAACATCTTAAAAGTTGTCTGTATTCGCTTGCCTTGGTTTCTTTCTGTTCTGTTCAAATTAGTATGTCTGGCACTAATATTTTGACCAAATCTTGAAAGTAAGGAAGACCCTTTGAATTAAAGCAGAAAAATAAAAAACGTTGTTAGAGGGAACGAATACTTGCTCTTTGGGGAGGAAGGAGACATGTAAATTAAATCTAGAAGAGACATTTAAAAATTCAAGTAGATGAAGGATGTTTATTTGCTATTTCTGACTTATGAGAAAGCATGAAATAAGCCACATCCTTTTTCTAGGTGCTATCAGCTGCCTCTGCTGCAGGTGTTTCTGTAGCGTTTGGTGCACCAATTGGAGGAGTTCTTTTTAGTCTGGAGGAGGTAGGTCAAAAGTACAGCAGCTATATATCATTACTACTAATATATTTTGGCACATGTCAATTTTATAGCTCATTTAATAGGTTCAGATTTTGTTGTTATTTCAAATTTTATATGAAAGTTTCCACTCATTTTTATATTAAGAATTACTCTGTGGATTCTTGTACCCAGCAGAAAAAATTTTGAATCTGTTATTGTGTAAATTTTTGCAGTAGTTAAAAATTTAGTTTTATACTGTTTGCATTTAAAACTAAGATCTGAGAGAATTTTATCATCTATGTGTAGTGACCTATGAATAATTTGCTTTTTATTTGTAAGACTGAATTCTGAATTATCCCAATGTTATTTTGAGTGATAATTTCTGATATGGTTATTGTTTAAGGAAATCATTGTAGTTGCTTCAGTAGATTAGTTTGGTTTTAAGTTTTCATTGGTGTGAAGACTTTTAAAAATATGTATACAAAAACATGACAAATAGTTTAAAATTTACTGTTATGTTCCAATTTCTTGTATTCTTTTCTTCTTTAATATAGAAGTAGATACATTCTTTGCAGTAAGCAGGAGTTGGTGATATTACGTTTATTTTTAATTTCCCTGTTAGAAATGGATGTGACACTCATTTTCAAAATGCTAGATATTGTAAAGAATTATTAGACACTAACTTCATTTGATATTATAAATTGGTAATAATGTAATAGGTAAATATATTAAAATATTTTTGCTTGCATAAAATCCACTAACTGTAAATTTTACCTGCATCAAAATTTACCTGCATGATAATTTTGGTCAAATTGTATTAGAAAAACCTTTTAAACACTTTTTTCTTTTCCTTTTCTTTAGGTTAGCTATTATTTTCCTCTCAAAACTTTATGGAGATCATTTTTTGCTGCTTTAGTGGCTGCATTTGTTTTGAGATCGATCAATCCATTTGGTAACAGTCGTCTGGTCCTTTTTTATGTGGAGTATCACACACCATGGTACCTTTTTGAACTGTTTCCTTTTATTCTCCTAGGGGTATTTGGAGGGCTTTGGGGAGCCTTTTTCATTAGGGCAAATATTGCCTGGTGTCGTCGACGTAAATCCACCAAATTTGGAAAGTATCCTGTTCTTGAAGTCATTATTGTTGCAGCCATTACAGCTGTGATCGCCTTCCCTAATCCATATACTAGGCTCAACACCAGTGAACTGATTAAAGAGCTTTTTACAGACTGTGGTCCCCTGGAATCGTCTTCTCTTTGTGACTACAGAAATGACATGAATGCCAGTAAAATTGTTGATGATATTCCTGATCGTCCAGCGGGCGTTGGAGTATATTCAGCTATATGGCAGTTGTGCTTAGCACTCATATTTAAAATCATAATGACAGTATTCACTTTTGGTATTAAGGTAAGAGCTAATGTGAGATGTTTAAGTAATTTTGATACGTTCAAAGCTTACATGTAAAATGAGAGATGAATTTTTTACCTGAAGGTTGTTGTTTCCATGTAGGCTGAAAAGATTGTTATCTTGGAGTTTAATTTTATGTAAGAAAAATCATTCCTTAGGCTATACTAATGAAGATGCTGTGTAATGAATTACTGCAAAATGTAGCAGCTTAAGATAACTAATTTGTTCTTGATAATGGGTGAATGATTTGGTGTTCTTGCTGGTAATCTCGTCATCAGACATGGTTAAGGCTCATCACTTCATTCCTGCGTCTTCCTTCCTCCTGGACTGAGAAGGTTCTTACAACTGAGGCTGAACATTTGGTCCCATAGATTCTCATGTTCTCTTTCTTTGTCTCTTTGGGTTTCCCAGCTTAATGTGCTCAGGATACTTGTATTTCTTACATAGTAATACAGGGTCTTAAAAACAGGTGTCCCAGCGTGCTGTTTCTACCCTAGGTAAAGGAGTTCTATCGTGTAACTTCCCTTTCAATTCTTTACTGAGATACTCAATTGTGTTTACTGAGATATTCAGAATGGCCCAGCCAGGTTCAGAAGAATGAAGCATGAACAGTTGTGTAATCATGTATTAGTTCCCTGTTGTCTCTACAATAAACTACCACTACCATAGGGCTTAAAAACTACACAAATGGAGGGGGTCACGTGATGGCTCTGTTGGCTAATCCTCAGCCTACAAGTGCCAACATCCCCAATTTGTGTCCTTTCTGCTCCGCTTCCCATTCAACTCCCTGCTTATAGCGTGGGAAATCAATGGAGCATGGCCCTTGTCCTTGAGACCCTGTGTACATGCGTGGAGGACCTGGAGGAAACTCCTGCTGCCTTGCTTTGAACTGACTCAGCTCCAGCCACTGTGACCATTTGGGGAGTGAGCCAGCTGGTGAAAGATCTTTCTGTTTTTCTTTCTGTAAATCTAGCTTTCCGATTAAAAAACAATCTCATAAAAATACACACACACAAATAACTTACCTTAATAGTTCTGGATATCAGAGGTCTGAAAAGGGTAGGTCAAGATGTTAATGAGTGGTATTTTTTCCCATCTTTAGCATTTTCTGAAGACCCTACATTCCCTGCTTCATGACCACCTCCTTCTAAATTCAGAACCGGGTCAGGTCTTTCTCTTGTCACTTCACGCTTGTAAAATCCCTCTTCCACATATAAAAACTTTTGTGATTATTTGATTGCCATGTAAATAATATAGAATAATCTTTTGTTTTAAGGTCAACTGATTAGCAACCTTAAATCTCTTTCAAATTTAATTTTTCCTTGCCATATTACACAACAGGTTACAAGTTCTAGAAAGTAGGATATGTCTGCCTCTGGAGAACCTGTCATACCGCTTCAGGATGTTAGCTTGTTAAAGTTTGAAGGCTTACTGCAGACTTACATTACTAGACCTGTGAAACCCAAGCTTCTCCCGTCAAGAAGTGAAGCCAGCTGGGCCTTATCCCCTGGAACTCGGCTTCCCTTGAACTTATGAAAGAAGGAATAACATTCATTGATTATATATTAGTAAATATAATTTACTTTTGTGATTATCAATGATGTATAAGAGGAAGTATATGTCAGTTTCTTTTTAAAATTATGCTTATAGTACATGTATATGCTGGTGGTGTGTGTTTTTATAGATATGTTATGAGGAATAACAGCTTTATTTCAGTGAAATTGGAGTGATGTTAGTTTTTGAAGATTTGTTTGTTGTTTAGTTCGCTAAGTATTATGAGTTAAATAATAGAAAAACCTTGAAGTTTTATCTTTTTTTTTCTTTAATAAATAAAGCTAAAGGAGATATTAAAGATCCTTTTATATGAAGTTGTTTTTCTGTAAACCCCAGCATTTTCATCATCAGATGAACTGCAGGAAACTGGAAGTAGTTGATAGGCATTTGTTCAGTTTCATGGCTTAAAGGTCATAGCTAGCAGGAGAGTATAGCACATTCGTCGATCCTCCGCATTCTGGGCTCGACTTATTTGCATATCTAGAATAGTGTAGAGTTGTTAGTCTTGCAGAACTTGCTTAATGTGTTCCGTTACCCTTGTTACATTTAATTAAGTATTATTATTTTTAATTTATATATTATATAAATGTCACCATCATTTATTTATATGTAAGAAGAGCATACTAAAATGTAGTAAAGTACAGTAATTTGAATTGATATGCTTTTATTAAAATTGCTTTATACTGTCCTTTCTATTTGTCTTGATTCATTATGGACTAATGGAAATTTTGTTACAGACTGACCTTAGGGAATCCATAAGCAAAAGATAAATAATCCTTAAATTATTTTCTCTTTGTTCTACAATCTGTAGTTGTTACTTTATAACTGAATTTATGGAATTGCTAGGGTGTAGTATGAAGTTTTGCTAGTTCTATTTGTATTAGAAATTTTATATTAACAAAATGTGAAAAAGCTTAAAAAATGTTGGACAAATCTGTGTATTTGTAAGCTTCAGCTATGTGAGCAGAATCTCCTTGTTGTTCCAGGTTCCGTCAGGCCTGTTCATCCCCAGCATGGCCATCGGTGCAATTGCTGGGAGGATTGTGGGGATTGCAGTGGAGCAGCTTGCCTACTATCACCACGACTGGTTTATATTTAAGGAATGGTGTGAAGTCGGGGCTGATTGCATTACACCTGGCCTGTATGCCATGGTTGGGGCTGCCGCATGCTTAGGTAATGAAATTGTGTGTGGTCATGTATGGATGTTGGCCCATCTGTACTCATGAGCAGTTGATGATAGGGCTGATGGGAGAAGAAGGGAAACAAAATGGTAGTTGTACCATGTGCAAGTTTTAATGTTCTGTCTCAGAACATTTGTTAATCCAAAAATTTGGTAATAGTTAATATATCAGCATGTCACATGCTACCTTCTGACAGAAACCATCTTAGAACATATCTGAATGCTGTCTAAAGAGATTGTTGATTTTGTTTTTTGCCAACCATCATGACTGAACCTATAACAAGTTTAACATGGTTCTTATTAAGAGTAGCATTATAACAGTTCAGAATTGTTTACCTTGGGCTCTAAAGTAATTTGTTGTTAATCTTTAGTAAATATATATATCTATATAAATATGTCTATACATATATAATATATATTTACTAAACATATAGTATATATACATACATTTTATATAAACATATATATATATTAAGCTCTGTCTATTTATTAACACCATCTAAGGTGTGTTAATTTGAAAAACAGAAAGTAGTTACTCATTTTGATGGCAAGAAAAGCAAAATGACTGCATTGAATATTTACAAATATACTTACTGTCCTCTCTGGTATGGAAATTAGTAACTTCTTTATGTAAAATTTCAACTAAACTTTGGTTGTAATACGTAATAGTTGGAGTCTTGACTTTATTTTTTCAATGAATTATATAATTATCTTGAAAAGTGTAGTCTAAAATGATAGTACAGAATCTTTTCTTTTTAAAACCAAAGTAGCAGGTAATTATGAAGCATCTACTTTCTTGTTAGCGCTGAGCTAGACACAGTGAATGATACAAAAAGAAATATAAGCATGGGCCCAACTTCAACTATAGTCAGTTTGGGAACAGTGAGAAAACGATGGCAGTATACAGAGGTGATGCATGGTGTTAAAATGGTGAAAATACTGTAGTGATCCAGAGGAACAAGGAGGTGAAATTGTTCAGGAAAGATAGAGTGTGAGCTTAATTTTGAAAAGTTTAGTAGAATTTGTTGATGATTATAATGTGAAATAAAAGGAATTTGAATAGAAATAAATCTAGTGTTCTTAGAATTTGAAGACACTACATTTAAGTAGAAGAGAATATTTGTTATACTTTTTCTGAAATGAATTTGAATTGGTGAGAAGAAGCAGATTGTGACCAGACACCTAATTTATATTAGGATGGATTTATATTTAGACTCATTGATAACTTTGGGAATGTTTCTTTACTTCATTCATGTTTAGTTTTCTCATTTTTACATTGGAAGTAACAGTTTTTTAAAATCTCCTATGATTGTTTTAAGGAATACATAACATAAAAATTATGTATAGCTGTTAAAGTACTGTCTGATAGTAAAATAAGTGCTTAGTTAAAATGCCTTTGTATGCTGACTAGAACATGCTAGGAATAGAATAGTTACATAATATATAATAGGTCCTTTATCCTTCTGTATTTAGGTAAAAAACAAAAAGAGTTTAAGCTTAATACAGTATGAGCTTTCAAGTCCTGGTGGGCTTTTGAGCAAAGGAGCAACATGGTAAAGGTAGTGCTTAGGAAAGCTTAACTTGGGAACATACTTATAAGTGGATTGAAGGTAATGGGACTTGACGTGAAGGAGGTAAGATTAAAAGGTGTTAAAATTAAAGAACAAAGTCTTGAGGTCTTGGACTGGGCCCTCACCAGGGAGAATACTGAGAAAAGGAAATGTAGACAAATGATCATCGTTCAGTATTTCTGAGGGTTTTGTTTGAGGACCCTGCAAATATCAAAATCCAAGGAAGCTGAAATCCAACAGTGGAGGGGTGGTTGCAGATAACCCACACACATCTTCCTGTGTGGTTTAAGTCATCTGGATTATTTATGACAGCTAATACAATATAAATACTAAATACAATAATTATCAAGGAGACAATGGCAAATAGTATATACATATTTACTACAAGTTGGATTTTCACTCTAGTATTTCCTGTCCAGGGCTGGTTGAATCTGTGAATACAGATCCTGCAGATACAGAACACGGGTAGTATTTAGTAGAAGAAATCAGATGAGACTAGATGATGATGTGGACATTGGAATAGAGGAGTGAACCAAGAATGACTATTTAGGTTGCTAGTAAAATGAGGTACCCTATTTTGGACTCAGGAAAGCTGGAATGAGTATCTCTGAGGTAAACTAGGAATTTGGTTTTAAGTGCATGGTATACTTTCTGTGACAGTGGGTCATGAAATCCTCTAAAATTGAAACAGACACAACAATTATATATAATATCCATTATGTAAGACATCGGACAAAAGCAAAATAAATAGAAAGATGTGGGCAAGGAAGCATTGCCATAGAGATCCTGTACAGGAGTGATGATTTGGTAAATATGATTTCTATGAGACCAGGGATTATTTCTTACATTGTTTATATAAATCACAAGGTATGGAAATATTTTGCTTGTAAAGACTAGGAGGAATTAATCAAATTCATGATCTACCTGCATGTGATTTTAGTTTTTAAGTTTATATCATACAAGTTATCCATCAGATTCCTTAGGAATTAATAATAAGCTCTGTTGTTGGGTACAGTTATGTTTTTTGCCACAACAGTAAATGAGAATAGCAACATGTCTAACTTGTTAGCTGAGATTTTTTTTCAGTTGAGATAAATGAGTTTCAGAATGTTATTTTAATAATTTCAGTGTTACAAATCAAAGTCAGTAATTCTCTACATTTTACTATTGTGCAAAGGGAGGAGGAATAGTGTTTTGATGTTAACACCTTTTACTAGGTTCTGTTTGCAATTTTAACTTGAGCCTTGTGGTGCGAAGCTTCTGTAACATATAATACTGACGATCCTGTCCTCCTTTGACTAGTGGGTGCTTATTTTTTTTCAGGTGGTGTGACAAGGATGACTGTGTCCCTAGTAGTTATTGTTTTTGAACTTACTGGGGGCTTGGAATATATTGTTCCACTCATGGCTGCAGTCATGACAAGTAAATGGGTTGGAGATGCCTTTGGTAGGGAAGGTATTTATGAAGCTCACATCCGATTAAATGGATACCCTTTCCTGGATGCAAAGGAAGAATTCACTCATACTACCCTTGCTGCTGATGTCATGAGACCTCGACGGAATGACCCACCCTTGGCAGTTCTGACACAGGACAATATGACCGTGGATGACATAGAAAACATGATCAATGAAACCAGCTACAATGGCTTTCCTGTGATAATGTCAAAGGAGTCTCAGAGATTAGTGGGATTTGCTCTCAGAAGAGATCTGACGATTGCAATTGGTAAGTTTAAAAAAAAAAATTGTTGAGAACGTGTGTGTGTGTGATTTATGATAGTTCCGTGGAAGAAAAGAAACTATTAACATTTAAAAGATTGAATTTGTGGGGCAAGGGATGTTATTTTATGTCCCTGAATGTCTCATATTCTCTAGGAAAGGAATTTATGCTGCTTTGCATTGTTTTACTGGCAAATGTAGTTTTCTTCTTTGTACTTAAATTAGATAGAGGCATAGACATTTTGTGCATCCAGGTAAGGCTGTGTTACTGCTTGCAACACCTGTATCACATATTGGAATGTGGGGCCTAATTCCCAGGTCCACTCCTGATTTGAGGCTAGGAAGCAGGAGGTGATGGCTGAGTTGCTTGGGTCTTTATCGCTTGTTTGGTGATCTGGATTGAGTTCTTAACTATTGGCCTTAGCTCAGTCCTAGCTGGCAGGCATTAGGAAGTGAGCCAGCACATGGGAGATCTCATGGTCTTTCTGCTTTTCAAGTAATGTAATTATTTAAAGATTAATTAAAAGAAACAGTCTTGTGATTTAGAAGAGAATACTGGTAAGGCTTTATTCTTCTTTTAAGGTTTATTTACTTACTTGAAAGGGAGAGTTAGATTTTCCACCCATCAGTTCACTTCCCAAATGGTCTCAGCGTGTGGAGCTGGGCTGGTCCTAAGCCAAGAGCCTGGGGCTTCTGGGTCTCCTGGGTCTCCTACATGGGTGTAGAGGCTCAAGCCTTTGTACAATCTTTGACTTTTTTCCAGATGTGTTAGCACGGAGCTGTATCAAAAGTAGGGAGGCCAGGGCTTGAACAAGTGTCTGTGTGGAATGCTGACACTTCAGATAGCAAGTTTACTTGCTATGCAACAGCAGAGGTCCCCTCATTCATTTTTGATATGATCTGACTCTCCGTCTCCTGCCACTGATATTGATATAGCCATCAAGTAATTGCTTTGTTACTTCCCACTGTCTGGTACAGGACAGTGAGGGGGAAATGTCAAACATTTGACCTGTCCCTAAAAGGCATTTCTGTGGGCCTCGCATCTCTCTTCCTTACCTCTGTGGTCATTGCTAACGGATCATAAGATAAATCTTGTGCCACTTAGAGAGAGAAGACTCCACAGTTACAGATGGAATATTTCTGAAATCAAACTGGAAACTCAATTTGTATGTGATAATCAAGGTTAAAGCAGAGAAGAGAATAGGAGAAAATAAGATGCTACAGAGAAAATCCTCTTCAGTTTAGAAAGAGGATATAGCTATAGCTATAGTTTCACAAAATAAGATCTTTGAAGTCTGCTAAATCATGTAAGTTACCCATGCCATGTTTAGGTATTTGTTTGAAAGGAAGAACAGAAAGAGGGAGAGACAGGTCTTCCACACACTGATTCACTCCCACATAGCACTGAAACAATCAAGTCTGGGCCAAGTTGAAACTAGGAACTGTGTTGTGGTCTCCTATAGTGGTGGCAAGAGACAAGTTTTTGAGCCATCAGCTGCTGCTTTCGAAAGGGTTTTAGCAAGAAGCTGGATCAGAAGCCAAGCAGCTAGGACTCTTAACTGGCTCTGCTATGAAGAATGCCAACTGTGCAGGTAGCAGCTTAATTTGCTGTGCCACAAATCTGCCTCCTCCACCCCCCCCCCCCCGCCCCGGGCCGCAATTCTCTTTGTATACCAGAGCAGAATTTTATAGAATATCAAATCTAAGCAAGAGATTTTAGGTTGCTTAAGGTCATTAAAGCAGAAGTGATGGGATTTTTTCAAGATTTATTTTTATTGGCAAGTCAGATTTACAGAGAGGAGAGACAGAAAGATCTTCTTATTCACATTTACCTCGGGCAGTGGTGGTTGCTGTGGCCCGAACTGAGCCCATCTCAAGCCAGGAGCTTCTTCCAGATCTTTCACAGGGGTTCAGGGTCATAATGCTTTGGGCCATCCTCTACTGCATTTTCAGGCCACAAGCAGAGAGCTGAACCAGTGCCCATATGGGATCCTGACAATGTTAAGGCCAAGGGCCAGTGATAGGACTTTAAAAAAATGATTTATTTATGTATTTGAAAGGCACAGTTATGGAGAGACAGATGTTCCATCTGCTGGTTCGTTCCCTAAATGGCTGCAACAGCCAGAGCTGGCCCTGTCCAAGGCCAGGAGCAAGAAGCCAGGAGCTTCTTTCAGGTCTCCCCTGTGGATTTAGGGCTCCAAGCACTTGGTGCATCCTAGGCTGCTTACCCAGGCATAGTATCAGCAAGCTGGACTATAAGTAGAGCAGCCATAACTGAAACTGGCTGGCTGGGCCTGTGTGGGATGCCCGTGTCCCAGGACTGTTTTACTCAATGTCTGAATCCCATCAGGCTAAACCTCTGCTTGTGCCTCCTGCATCCCATATGGGCACTGGCTTAAGTTCCAACTGCCTCACTTCTGATCCAGCTTCCTGCTGTGGCGGGGGAAAGCTGCAGAGGATGGCTCAAGTCCTTGTGCCCCTGCACCTCAGTAGGATCCAGCTCTGGCCATTGTAGTTACTTGGAGAGAGAGGAGTGGACTCTCCTTAAATCTCCACTCCCCTCAAAAAAAGCCCCACCCAAATCTTTAAGTAAATTTAGAAAACATCCTTAATCCCAAGGAAAGAAAATTTGTACCAGTGTATAATAATAGCAAAACTATTTATATAAAGATTTTTTTATATTGGTGGATTCCAGTTCAAACACAGGAAATTGGTAAATAGCTGTTCACTTATTACCTTTCTTTTTTAAGGAGAAGATAGGCAAAATTAGAAGGACTAGAAGTTATAGTAAGTATTTATTTGGTGTCTCCAAACAAGTAAGTTATCCACAAAAAGAGCAAAACCTAGTAATCTGAATTTTTGATCTTTTGTTTTTCTCTTTCAGAAAGTGCTAGAAAAAAACAAGAAGGCATTGTAGGTAGCTCTCGAGTGTGCTTTGCACAGCACACCCCATCTCTTCCAGCTGAAAGTCCTCGGCCCCTCAAACTTCGAAGTATTCTTGACATGAGCCCTTTCACAGTGACAGACCACACCCCAATGGAGATTGTGGTGGATATCTTCCGAAAGCTGGGTCTGAGGCAGTGCCTTGTAACTCACAATGGGTAAGTCTGGTAATGAAGAAATTGGTTCACTCAGCAGAATAATTCTCTTAGTGCAATCTTCATGTGGTTATTAGGGAAGAATGTGTGAACTCCCTCATAAGTAAGTCTGGCATTTAGCGTGGTCATAAATAAAGGATCAGTGAAATTTCACACTTAGCAAAGGAAAAGAAAGATGCCAATTGTCTGCCCTTTGCTGAAGCGTGAAGTGCCACTGTCAGGAATGCTGTACTTCAGCGTGGAAAAGGGGGCTAAAACATGAACAGCAGCCTGCTGCGCAGAGTGTTCCTGCTATTAGAGAAGAGTCAGCCTACCTGGGGTAGAGCACTGCAGAACCTTCTTTGTTTTTGCAAGTATTTTATTTCTGGTTTAAAATGTTCCAATATACTGTTAACCTTCCAGTTATTTTTCTGTTCGCATTTTATCCAGTATTTAGTGTACCATATGGACAAGAAAAGGCTTCTTCAAAAACATCATAGAAAATTCATATTAAGAGAAAAATTCACACATGGAGTTCAAATTTTTATACCAAAATTTATCTCTTAAATAATTTCCATGAATTTTTGAAAGTCCTTCAAATAATTTAACATTCTGTAAGTTAATTAAAAACTTCCTTTAATAGAATGCATTATTTTGTTTCTACCTTCATCATCCTCAAGTATTCACATAAACTGACAATGACAAAACACTGGTATTTTGAACTTAAGCACTGGTAATCAGTTTTCCTGTCTTTTGCCCATAAACTGCAGTGACAGGTATCATAGGGATTGTAGAGACTTAATGCTCAGATGCCTGGACCAACATACTTGAACTTTGTCTCCACTGTTCACCCCTTCTCCTGGACTTACATACTGTTTCCCTACACACTGTTTTTTAGAACTCTGTTCTCATTATTACTTTTCCTTAGGAGAAACACAGGGTATTCTTGGACTTTTAGTAAACTCCCTGAGCAACATAAAGCTGGGTAAAAAGGCTTAAAGGGTCACAGCAGGTGTTTTTTTGTTTTTCTTAACCTCATTACATGGGTGATGAGACATGACCCATGTCTAGGGTAAGGCAGAGAAAAGGAACTGGGAGGAAGTTAATGTGTTTATTGGACACCTTCATGTTTCTCATTTACCTTTGCAGAACTTTAGCAAAGTAAGCGGTAATATCCCTGCCTCCCTACCTGTGATGTAATAATTGAAATCCAAAGAGATTTAGTCATTTGACAAAAGTCATACAGTCAGCAAATTAGGATTAAAGTGTCTTTCTACTTTAGAATCCAGTCTCTTGGAGTTGGCTCAGCAGCCAAGATACTCTTGGGTGACCCACACATCCCATTTTAACAGTACATGGGTTTGAGTTCTGTGTCTACTCATGATCCCAGCTTCCTGCTGATGTGTACCCTGAAAAGCAGTAGGTGATGGTACAAGTACTGAAGTCCTTATCACTTACATGAAAGATCTGAGTTTTGCCTCGTAGCTGCAGCATGGCCCAGTGCCTGAATGTTACGGGCATTTCAAGGGTGAATCCGTAGATGAGAACTCTTACTTGCTTTCTTCCTTTTCATATCTATCTCTCTGTTTGCCTGTTTCTCCTTTTCTTTATGTATTTGCCTATTAAATAAATACAGTAAATATTTTTAAGATTTATTAATTTGTATTGGAAAGGCAGATTTACCAAGAAAAGGAGACAGAGAAAGATTTCCATCTGCTGGTTCACTCCCAAGTGGTCATTTTGGCTGGAGCTGAGCTGATTCAAACCCAGAAGCCTCCTCTGGGTCTTCCATACGGCACCAGCAACGTCCCAAGGCTTTAGGCTGTCCTTGACTGCTTTCCCAAGGCACAAGCAGGCAGCTGCATGGGAAGTCGAGCAGCCAGGAACACAAACCAGTGCTCATATGGGGTCTTGGCACATGCAAGGTGAGGTTTTAACCACTTGGGTTTCGTGCCAGGCCCCAGTTCATTTTTAAAATCCATCCTTTTGCTATTCTTTTTGAACTCTGATGAACTTTTTATGATTTTAAAAATTAATAAGATATTTTAAAAATTTATTATTTTTATTGGAAAGGTGAATTTACAGAGAGGAGATGCAGAGATAAAGATCTTCTGTCTGCTGGTTCATTCTCCAAGTGGCCACAATGGCCAGAACTGAGACGAAGCTAGGAGTCGAGCTTCTTCTGGGTCTCCCATGTAGATGCAGGATCCCAAGGCTCTGAGCCATCCTCTACTAATTTCCCAGGCCAGAACCAGGGAGTTGGATGGCAAGTGGAGCAGCCGGGACATGAACCAGCGCCCATATGGGATAGAGGCGTATCCAAGGCAGAGATTAGCCAATGAGATATTGTACAAGGCCCATAAAATATTTTCTTTAACCAATATATTAGAATATATTGTGTTAGGAATATAAATGTTACAGAAACATTTGTATTTCTGTAATTAAAAAACAGAACTATATGCATGCTTTAGGCTTTTTTTTTTTTAATATGGTAACCATTAACTTCAGGAATATGAATTCAGATATTCATGTGATAACTCTCTTAATTAATAGGGAGTTTGGGATTATTAAATATCATAGATAGTGACTGCAGGAGGGGATATATATTAGAAAATATTGCTGTCCCTATTTTAATATTTCATTTAAAAATGTTATCAAGGCATATTGTTTTAAGAAATTTAGCAATTATTATTTAAATGGAATGACTTCATAGAGCCTTGCTGATCTTTAGGCTCTTAATTATAAAGTAGCTCAGTTGGAACCTGTGCTTGGTTGTTATAAGGTATTATTTGCTTCTAGTCTTTCTCTGTGTCTGGTATACATCCTCCTGTTTATTGAGACAGAACTATAGGTAGACTTGTTGATTCATTCTTGTCTACAAAGGATGAGGCTGGGCAGGTGACCTCAGCCAGTAGCTGGGAAATCACTTCTCCCTCCGTGTGCTGTTGGCAGTCAGCAAGCTAGATGCAAGAGCCAGGGTCCAGATTCTCTTCTGGACGCTCTAAGAGGGGCTGTTGAGTATCTTACAGCTGGACTAAACACTTGTGCCCAGTTTGTCTTGTTATGCACTAACAAATGTAAATGTTATTCTCTGTGAAAATATTATGATATGTGATAAAAAAGCTGAATTAACTTTCTTATTTCACCTTTTGGCTTAATTCCTGAGTTTTGGGTAAAATCAGTCCCCCATTTGTGAATCACGTTTTGCATTTTCTTTCTACCCACTGAAACTAAAACAAAAGTTTTAAAAACTAAAAAATAGATGAAGCTCTGAACCTCATCTATTCCTAAATCACCTTTTTCTCTTTTCTTTCCTTTTCCTTTTGAGAAGAATGATGTGTACTTCTCCCTTTCAGAGCTATTGCTTTGTAAATTCACAGATTACTTTCTAAATTTCTGTATTTGCAACTTGGTTCTTACAAGTCTGTAACTGCCTTCATTGTGTATGTATCATGTGATCTTTCAGAGTTTACTAATTTAGGTGGTAAACTAGAACTATGTCGATGCAATTAGATAGAAAAGTATGACTAAGACTTAAATTGGAGTTATAATCGCTAAGATTTCTGCTTTTCCTGGCTCAAGAAAACCATGAAATTAAGGGTATCAACAATTTTTTATTTGGTTGTTTTAAACCTGAAAGTTTTAGTGAGGGAAGTTTATCTATACTGAGTAATTGCTCTTTTTATAAACTGTTTTTAAGGGGGAAGCTATTCTCATAATCTGAGAATTCTTCAACTTATTCTGAAGGATCAATACACAGTTTTTATAAAAATAATGAGAAAATGTGACCAAACAGCTTAGGTCTGTTTTTCCAGTTCTTTGTCTTGTATGTTTCCCCACTCCTACTCCAGCTGCCATCTGAAGAACTATTTAATAAAGGAAATGTCTATTAAGACAGACTCTTGAAAGTCCCCTGTGATTGCTCTTTAAAGGGTAGCGTAACAGGAAGGTTGCCTCAACCAGCTCATCAGGAACATGCCCAGTTACCCTAAAGGACATTCTGAATGGGCTTCCAGGGTTTAAAGGTTAAAGTGCTGCTTTAAAAAGTTGTTGACTTACATTTGTCCTGCTACATATGGCAATTGAATTAATTAATTTCCATTATAAAATCGGTGACCAGAATTTTGTTTCAGCTTTGCTTAATTTCAGGTATCTTCTTGAAAATTAATGTCTGTCATTTTGCTTCTTGTCATGACATATTAAGAAAGAAATAATCATTAAGATATGGGGGAAAAGCAAAACATAAGTCATTTTGATTCTTATTAATAAATATGTTCTATTATAATAAGTATTAATGGTTCCTGAAAATTAAGGAGTTTTAATATTACTTATTTACTGTGCATTATTTTAGTTTAAATGTCAAACAATGGCAGAATTCAGGAGATTTTTTAAATAGACATTAAATGGGAAATAAGCCTTTGGTATGCTGGCATGGATTCAGCTAATAGCTCCTGCATTATCTCTAAGTTGAGAAGACTGAAAATGAAACTATTTCAGAGGCTTATACTGTGGTCATCATTAAGTTTCTTTTACTCTTTTTCTTGTTGTCGTCTTAATTCTGAAGTTAGGGAAAATGGTACAACAGTATTGAGGAATATTGACGTTGTCACTTTTGGAAGTAGAATTTATACAAAAGGAACCTGGAATTTTAGGTTTTTGTTTTTTCCTAAAGTTCATGAGAAGCATTCTTATAGTTCATGTTTTTTTTTCTCTTTCATTCTTTATCATTATGATTGGAACCTCTTTTAATTTGATTTCTCACACAGTTATTAGCATAATAATCTGTTTCAGGATTGTCTTGGGGATCATCACAAAGAAGAACATATTAGAGCATCTCGAGCAACTAAAGCAGCACGTGGAGCCCTTGGTGATTAGATATATCAGATCTCCTCATTAGACACCTTAGAAGTCAGGAAGCATGAAACTTGTGAACTGTTCAGTTTTCCCAGATACCTGCTGAACAAAAACCAGTCTTACCAACTATGCTGCCAGTTACATTTGTACTGATGTGTCTGTAAGGTTAAATTAGATATGTGTATAATTCATTTTATAGGAAGTATGTAAAGGGTAACATCACTCATCAGAATCATTGGTTACAACTTAAGAACTGTGAACAGTTTGGTAGTTGAAGGAGAACAGATTGTTGGACATTTTGAAGTCAACACAACTAATCCGTCTACTATGCCAATGCTCCAGTCTTGGAAGATTCCTGACTGGTTAACAATGTCTTGCTTGTCGCCCCAAGCCCATTTTCTCTTTTGTTTCCTAATATGTGGTAGTTCTGTAGTCAGATCTAAGCTCCAAAATGACTTTAACTGAGCTTAGCAATTAGAATCATTGACACTTTGATGATTACTTTAGCGGGCACACTCCTAGCATGTGATGTCTGTGTATTTGTGATCATAGTATTAGTTCTGCTATACCCTGCATAACTTCAAAGTCAGAATGTGTGTCCTGCCATCTCATTAGTGAATTGTATCTAGATCATGTATGTACCCCTTTTGTATGATGTCTCTGGAATGCTATAAGTAGCTTTTGGAGTCAAATGTATTTGTTTTAACTGCTTTTATGTCCTTGTGGTTTTATAACTACAGATAAATTTTGAGTTATTTATATTTACTATATAACATAAAAATTGTCTGGCTTTATCACTTAATGCCTGAATTATTTTTCCTGCAATTGTCATGCCTATATGAAATCTTTCCCAGTTTGCTGAAGTACACAGCCAATTATGTATTTCTGTTGTATGCTAATATTTCACAAGTGTTTCATGCATCCTTTTAAAAAAACTACTAACCAGATTAATAAGGTAGTTGCTCACTCATTCTGCTTTCTGCTTCACCAATAATCTGAGGACTGCTTGATTTTTTCCCCCGCTTTTAATGTAAGCATTAACAACTAAGACTCTCATAAAAGCACTGTATCTTAATTTTTGGCCAAAATAACTAAAGGAAAACATTGAGAAGTATAATAGAAACTTGAATTGTACAGATTTATATTTGGGGTCTTGAAATTAGGAATAGAAGTTTAGTGTTGACCTTCTAAAATGCATTTTTTTTCAATCATATGTGCTTTCATGAAAATTCTACATACAACTGGGTAATCTTTATATTTTATTTTAAACTAAATAGTTTTGGTTTAACAAAAAATGAACTATTGAGTGGGTTTGGTCATCAAGTATTTTGCTGCTTCCTTGGTGTGATGACAATGAATGTTCCCTTATCAAAATGGGATCAGTATCATTTCCCATGCGTCCACTCTCCCATATTTGTTACTTTTTTATTGGCATACACTAATGAAAATAGCTCTACTTCAGTGAGGTACGTAGCCCTTAGGCTCAGTGGAAAGGACAGTAGACTGGAAGTGACCATAAAACTGTATATAGGAGAGGATGGTTGCTGGATAATTTTGTTACCCTTACCAATAAAGTATTTTTGAACATACAAAATCAGGCTGCTTGCTTTGCTCTGTATTCCTCTCAACAAAAAGGACCTAGCTATAGATTTCGCTTCTCTTTTTCTTCTTTCATTTATTTTAATAGCAGTGTTCTGTTCCCTTCCAGGCGCCTCCTTGGCATTATAACAAAAAAAGATATCCTCCGTCATATGGCCCAGACGGCAAACCAAGACCCCGCTTCAATAATGTTCAACTGAATCCCATAGATGAGGAGAGAGAGGAAACAGAAGAGGAAGTTCATCTGTTGAATAGCACAACTGTTTAACCGGAGGACTCGTCTACTTTTTTTTTCTCCTTCTTTACAAAAGAAAAGGAAATATAAAAACCAGGCTTTTACAACATGGTTTGCAAAGGTGCTGGTTGAATGGAGGAGTTGTTTGAGGAGGGAAAGGAAAAAGCTCTTTCTCTAAGTGACAGCAGCGATCAACTCCTATTGTTCTGCACTGGATGCATTCACCTGAGATTGTGCCGTGATAGTGCAGGCTTGAACCACGATGGAGATGGCACCCTGACACTGGAGTCCTGGAGCACCTGGCCTGTGCTTCCACCATTGCAAAGACACGTTATCTGTCCCTGTTTCTGGAGGGATTACTTTGAATTGAGCCATCTAAAAGACTGCAAGGTCTTGCCCCCCCCCTTTTTTTTTAAACAAAACTGTTCTGTTTAATCCATGAATTGTACAGTTAAGCATTACCTTTCTACATTCCAGAAGAGCTTTTATTTCCGTCTCTCTCTCTCTCCTCCCTCCCCTACCCCTGAGCTGTAACAAATCCTCTTTAAATTGATGTACCCTTTTGAAGCAGTCCTTTCTCATATTGAGATGTACTGTGATTTTACTGAGGTTTCATCACAAGAAGGGAGTGTTTCTTGTGCCGTTGACCATGTAGTTTGTAAGGTCACTAACTGCTGGGAACAGCGCACATGCACCACATCAAAGGCTGATCGAACAGGTAGAAAGAATCTCAAGCATGAATGAAATCTCTCAGCCTCTGTGCTGTGTGATTTAGAATCAAAAGCAATGAAAATTGTTAAAGGATAGCAGGATTTTTTTTCCCATCTCAGACTTTATGAATAATGTGATCTGGTCTTATGCAGATTTTCTATTTCTGAAACTATTATGAGATGCAAGTGCTGTTCCGCATAGTGAGACAAAATGCTGCTGCTTTGACAGTAAGGATAAGAAAGTATTCTGTTGAGCTGTATGTGCTCTCAATTGCATGTTTAAACACTGGAATTTTTTTCTTGAAATTAGATCAATGATTTTTTTCTTTCCTCGAGATATTTCACTGCTGACACAAAGAAGAAATGTAATTCATAACTTGCACTAAATGTATAATTCTTTTCTTAAAAATTTACCATTCTTATTTATATTTTTATGGATTAAAATTTATAAAGTACAGATCAGTTAATATCGCACTTAAATAACTTTACCTTTTTAATGTGATTTTTATAGACTAATTCAGAATTACAAATATGGAGATATGAACAAAGTTTACAATGGGAGCAAGGGTTTAAGAGGTTGTGATTATTTCTCTATGATCCAATGTTGTACATAAACTGTTTTCTGATCTTTCACTGCCATCCCCTGATTTATGTCTTCTGATCTCATTTTGACCCATTAACTGGGATGTGTAAACACTACAGGTTACTACTGTGTAGATTAAAACCAAAAGCTAAGCAATGTTAACCATTTTTTTTTTTTAAATCAGCTACCAAAAAATTGACAGCATAGAATTGCGACGATAGCAGTTAGGTTTTAATCTCAGGGTAACCTTTAAGTCTTGAGCTAGGTCCCATCCATATTTGAAGTGTTCCTCAGCGGTTTGAATCTGAACAGAGCATGTACTGTGCCGGGTGAGTTAGTGTACTGGCGTTCACTTGGGATTTTTGGTTTTCTTGAAATGTCCGTTTCAGTCATGTTCTAAAGTCACTGTTGGTAAAGGCAGTTTTATTCTAAGGATTTGCCTAAATAGTCTATGAGAATGCATTTTGGATAGCAAAATGAAGTTTTGCAGAAATTTTCTGAAAAGCAACTGGTAATGAGCCATGGTTCTTCAATTCCTGGTTCTTCATAATACACTTGGAAATCTGTAAAATCACATAAGATTTGTAATATTGTGAAGATTTAGGAGATCATGAAGCCATAGTAACATAGCAGTTGAAAGCATGGCAAAATTTAGAAGTTTGACGAATCATTCTTATCATGCTGTCTGCCTAAAATGGAAGCTTTGCCCTCATAACTCACTCCCTTTGGCTGTCTTTGTAGCCCTTTCAAAGTAATTTTGGTCCTCCAAGTGAAATCATTGCTGCATGGCAGTTTTCTGCCTGTCTTAAAACGTGTTTGCAGTCTGTGAGGCACTGTGGGGGTCTGCATAGCTTGAGGCTTGTGCCGAGTTCCAGGCTTTCTGAGGACAAACCGGTTTCTTTACAGATAGCTTCACCAGTTAACCTGCACATAGACTTCATTTTCCACGTCTCCCTTTATTGACTTTAGGTCCTGCCTTCATTACCATCTTGGTTCAGAGATTGACATTTCAGGATATATATTAAAAGTGATATCTCTAGCCCTTGTGTGTCTAAATGCCCCAAATACAGGAAAAGTGCTGCATTTTCAACACATTGAGTAGTTTTTCTTTGATGTTACTAGCTATTCCATTTTCCTTTGTGAAACAGTGGAGTGTGTCTGCTTTTCAGCCAAATGATGAAGTAACGGAGACCATGAAATACATGTGCCTGAATAATTGGCAAACTGATTGACCAACATAGGAATAGCGCCTTATTTGAGTACCCTTTCTGAGAAGGTATGATGAGAATGGGCAAGGGTGTCAGCATTTCTTCTTATTGTTTTCAGTTTTGGTTTTTGAAGAATGCTTAGTTTGTTATTCTGTGATGTTGCCTAGAGCTGTATTTATCTGTTTTTATTTAAACTAGTGTAGTAAAGTTGCATATCATTACAGTAAAAATGATTACTGTGATGAGTTCATCAGAAAATCTATTAAAATCTCTATGACAATGTGTGGTTTGGCCTTTAATGTGTAGCAGTCCTTCCTCCTTACAACTGCCCTACGCAGTATAGGATGCCATGTCTGGCACACGCAGCCTCAAGGGGTGGTGACTACGACACTTCTCCCAGGTTGCAAAAGCTACTTCTAGACTGCGAATGAGGAAGGTGCCAGGTGGAGCAGCAGAACATAACAACTACCTGCAAAATCAGCAGAGAGACTGGCCAGTCAGCACAATGATTGCATTGAAGCTCACTTTTTAAAAATATGATGGTTGTAGGTTGTAGTATTAGCATGAAGAAAAAAAAACCAGATAAATGATTATGGCTTTAAAAATATATACTTTGGAAATTTGCTAAAGGGATGCCTTTTTAAAAAGGGGCAGTAAGTAAGATTTGAATGAGATTTCAGGGGTTTTCTAATACTGAACTTTTAGTAAAAAGCATAACTTGAAAAGTTCAGGGTAAGATCCAGAAAGGATAATTCATTCACTAATTATTAAATACTTCCTTTATGCCAGGCCTGTTCTCTTCTTGAAGCTGACAATCTTATATGAAGAAACATTTGTGTATCAGATAACAAATATCAGTTAAGCAGATTTTTTTAAGATTTTAAAATTTTTATATTTTAAAATTCTTATTGGAAAGGCATATCTACAGAGAGAAGCAGGTACAAAGATCTTCCATCTGCTGGTTCACTCCCTAAGTAGCTGCAATGGCTAGAGTTGAGCCAGTCCTAAGCCAGTAGCCTCTTCCAGGTCTCCGACATGGGTGCAAAGTCCCAAGGCTTTGGGCCATCCTAGACTGCTTTTCCAGGCCACAAACAGCAAGCTGGATTGGAAATGGAGCAGCCAGGATACGAACTGATGCCCATAGAGATCCCAGTGCAGGCAAGGTGAGGACTTTAGCCACTAGGCTATTGTGCTGGGCCCAGGTTTTATTTATTTATTTTTTTATTCCCAAAGATTCCTATATGCTACACACTGAAAAGCATACAAAATCAAACATAACATTCCATTCTAACGGGGTATCTGAAGGACAAAACAACGTGCATGCATTTGGACATGCATGGATGGACTCCGGAATAAGGTCACAGTTGAGCAGAAACCTAAACAGGGAATGGCCTCTGCAAGAACAATATTCTAAGAAGAGAAAATTCTATGTTCAAACATTCTAAGGTAGAACATTATTGCCAACCAATCTGTTAACAGCAGGTGGGTCCCCATGACTAGAAAGCAGAAAGAGTTGTAAACCATGTCAGAAAGGTAAAGGGCATTGGGGTTTGATTTTACTCTAAGTAAAAATGGGAAAAACATAGCAGCATAAACTGATATAAAATGGTCTGAGTTCCTTATTGGGCAAAAACTGCAGGGGACCATGTGGAAGCTGGATGGCCAGTTGGAAGGCTCTTTGAATAATGCAGGTCTTATATGATAACAGCTTTGGACCTGATTGAAGTCAGTGCAGTGGCGAAAAGTGGCTCAATTCCAGATAAGAGTTGCTAATGGACTGAATGGAAGGTGTTGAGAAAGGAAAGGTGTCTAAAAGTTTTTGGTTTTAGTAATGATGGCACTGAGTTGGGAGACTTCAGAAAGACTAGACTTGAGGAAGTGTAGTGAGAAATCCTAGCTTTGGACATCGTGATAAATGCCTGGAATAAGCATGAGACCTAGTGATTAATTCAGTTGTTGGGAAGCCCATGTCCCACAGAAGGGTACCTGGGCTCAATACCTGACCTCGACTCCTGACTCACTGCAGCTTCCTTCTGCTTTAGAGCCAAGGAGGCAGTAGTACCTGCATCAAGGAACCGGATCCCTGTTCCCAGTGTCAGACTGGATCGAGTTCTAGATTCTCGGTTTCAGTTTGACCTTGCCCTAGCTATGTGGACATTTGGGGAGTGAGCCAACAGATGAGATCTCATACTCTACTTCTCAAAACGAAATGACAAATTTTTAAATAACTTCTATTTTCCAAGTGAAGGTGTCAGATCCAAGTATATATGAGATTGGAACTCAGGCTCAGCTATCCAGGGCATGGGGCAGAGGTAGAATTGAGCACTGATGCATATTTGTGTGGATTTGGGGAAATATAAAGTCAGTACAAGAGGCACCAGTGTAATAAAGTGACAAATAGTACCATTAAACTAAGGAAGTTTGCTTTAAACCCAGTGAATAGTTGTCAGGGTGGATTCAGGTGAAAACTTGGAGTGGATTTGAAGGTGACTGCAAGCAGACTGAAGCTTATAATTCTTCCTGTGAAGTTTTCCAAAAAAGGACTTAGGGCTGGTGCTAAAGCATAACAGGCTAAGCCTACCTGGTGCTGGCCTCCCATAAGCCCCAGTTGGTGTCCTGGCTGGTTCAGTGTCAGTGCTTTTTCCTGAATATGTACCTGGGAAAGCAGCAAAGGCTAGCTCAAGTTCTTAAGCCACTGCACACAGGTTGGAGACCCAGAGCAGCTCCTGGCTCCCAGTTCCAGACCAGTCTGGCTCTGGCTGTTAGGACTCTCTCCTGTTTTCTTTCAAATAAATTGCAGAGTTTTATACCTCTTGCTGCTGCTTGGAATATTTGAGAGGGGAAATGAAAGCCCTGAGACCCATGAGAAGGTAAGAGGACACACAGTGGGTCATGACACAACTTACTGAGCTGAGGGAAGGCATAGTGGACAGTTGGTAGGATGGTGAGAATTGACTGTTCAGTGAAAGAAGATGGGAGTGAGTAAATAGGATTGATGGTTATTCTGTATGGCTAACTTAAGAGAAGGCCAGCCATCATGCTTCTATTTTGTTTTCTCCAGTTGCCAGGATTAAGCATTTTTTTGTTTCAATTTGATTTGCTGATAGTCCTAACAGGTAAATAAAACAAATGGAGTTGAGGATAGGGAAGTGATTCTAAATTGGGAAATGGAAAGCTGAAGATAGGGGAAAGAGTGAAGTGTAGGGGGGAAAGAGTGAAGTGTAGGGTGGATGCAAAATTAACAGAGTGGTTATATCAATAATCCGTAGTGTATGATCAATTAAAAATTTGCTGGACGCTAGAAGAAAGGTGGGTAATGATGTTCAGGCAGTAGTTTTAAGTTTTAATTACTGGGATTAGTAAGGTACTAGTTTTGACCCCCTAACCCTCATCACTGAAAATAAGGAGCTGAGAGGCCAGAGTATTAGAGGGCTCATTATATATATTATATATATATATATATATTGATATGAACAAAAATTATGACTAAAGTTTAGATAAAATTGATATTAAGCCAGGATGGTCAATATTTAAACGACTGCAAGGATCTAATGTCATTTCCAAGTAATTTATATGGCGGTTATCTTTCAGTTTTCCTTTCCTACCACATTCTATATGCATGTTTTTGAGGTTTGATAGAATTTCTGTGCTTTGTTCAAAGTTTAAATCTGAGATGAGCCGCAATATTTTGGTTAAATCCTGAGTCAACATCTGTCATCATGGAATTGCTTAGTCAATACGTGTTCTCAAGACAACACAGGTAGTCCCATTTTGGAGCTGTTATAGCATTTGAGTCTCCAGGTCCTTCACAGGCAAAAATACTTAGTAAACAGCCATGACCGTTAAGGCAGATGGTAAGGTAATGTAGGGAGCTTGCTCTTCAACTAACACTTAGTCTTGGAAGACTACTGCCACTTGAAAAGTATTACTAGTCCTTGGACACAACTGGCTGGATTTTGAGATTGCAAATCCACACTACTTGCCTTCAGGAAACACTGTAACAACTCCAAGTATATTATCCACTTATAACTGGCATAATCTTGTCATGACATTCATTTCTGCCTCGAAGGTGATATGCGGCTATTAGGTTTAAGGAATGGAAGAAAAGTTGCCTGTTGTATCCTTTTATTTATTCCTTCATAAGAAATCCTTTTGTATATAAAAATCAAATTGTGTATTTGAGACTGCTGGATCACTAAATGCAGAAATAAAGAATTTCTAATGAAGCAGATCTCAAAGATAACTGAATTTTTAAAATTTTGAATAATTTGGAATGTTAATTTAGAAAAAGTGAGGGAACACTTGAAACTAAAGCAATCTGAGGAGAAAAATTACCTTCTGAAGTATGAATTGGCTACAAAGTGTGAGCTAATTGTTTCTGTAAACTTTTAATACTAAGCAGTTAATAGTGCATGCCAATAGGTTTAGGCCCTGGAGCTTCATGTGTAACTAAGATGACAGTCCCTTAAGTTCTCTAACACCTCCCTGGTCAGAACATGAATGTTCCTGTGTAAATGAAGGTTCATTTTGGCTATTACACAAATTATAACTTCTTTGAAGAAAACAACTCTCTACAAGGGTGGCATGGGCCTCAGCAAGGAAATGAATGGATCTGGGGTCTGGCAAATGAAATTTGAAAAGTTTTCCAGCTACTTTAAATGTTACCCATTTAAAAACCTAAGCTTAGGTATTCCTAATAGTTTACTTAAACCCAGTTTACATGAAAAAGAATGAACTATTCAAATCTATTCTAAGACAGCTGAGTGTACAACTGAAGTTCTTTGGGTAAGCCAATGCTTTACAGAATGTGGAGTCCCATCAGCTGACCTGAAAGCTTTTCTATTTTGAACTTCATATGAAGCAGAAAGGCTGTAAAGTCCACGAAAGCTCTTTAGCCTGATCCATGAAAACTGCTACTCTGTATTTTATAGTTTGTTGTCTACTTTTCAAGGTGAAGGCCATCTTCTCCAGGAGGATCTGCAGCTGGAAAAAATGCAGCTTTCCAGATTTGCACTAGAGATCCAATGAAATAATTTGCAATGGAAAAATAACATCTAGGGCCCGGCGCAGTGGCGCAAGTGGTTAAAGGTCCTCGCCTTGCACGCCCGGGATCCCATATGGGCACCGGTTCTAATCCCGGCAGCCCTGCTTCCCTTCCAGTTCCCTGCCTGTGGCCTGGGAAAGCAGTCGAGGACGGCCCAAAGCTTTGGGAACCTGCACCCGCACGGAGACCCGGAAGAGGCTCCTGGCTTTGGATCGGCGTAGTATCGACCTGTTGCACTCACTTGGGGAGTGAATCATTGGACAGAAGATCTTCCTCTCTGTCTCTCCTCTCTGTATATCTGCCTTTCCAATGAAAAAATAATAAAAATAAATCTTTAAAAAAAAAAAAAGAAAAATAACATCTAAATACCAGTTGGATTAGTATGCTGTAATAGAACAGTACTATGTACTGTTTCAATATATCACATTCATTAACTTGACTCAGAAAATTTAAAATTGCCTTAAAGGATGTACCTCATGGGATTACTATTTGTTGGAATACTATAAGTCACTTGAAGATTTGTTACAATTCATCTGGGAAGGCCTGAGGTCAGGTACTCTGGGACAGAGCTAGTGACAGTCATGTGTTTCCTTCTTCTGTGTCTCCTTAGCTCTCATAAACCTAGTTCCTAAAGCTACAGTTGTTATTAACTCAAGACTCAGAACTGTGATGAATGTTAAAAAAGGATTTCCTGGAGGGAAAGGGTATGCTGCTTAACTAGAAGCATTAGGGATATTTTGTGACATTTAGAGGATCACTTTGGCTATTTTCCAAATATGGTTAGGATTTCATCATTTAGATGATTTTTTGCATATGAAAGAAAGGGATGAAGAGCCTTATAAAAGTTTTTAGTAAATGCTTCCATCAATTTATTTCCTATAGTAAGAAAAAAACAGAAGTGTAAAAGTAATCCTGTACATCAAACAAGCCAACTCTTACTCAGGCGACAAGTTGGTCTACATTCTCTTTACTTCTGTTTGAGAGATGATCTTCAATGATTTCTGCAAACAGATTCCTCTTCAACAGGTTATATGCAAGAGGTAAAAGCTGGCCAGCAACTTTATGAAAGTACTGGGGAAAAATAAAAGCAACATTAAGCAGAGACTATAGCAGATGTCCTAAGTAGCAGAAAGCACACTGAAAAAGCACTTAACAAAATATATTCCAAATCATTTTAACTATTCTCTCAGTTTATCAGTGAACAGTGCATTTTGGGGTAAGTACTGTGCATTCTATCCAAGGACAGTCTTGTTACTCTAAAAGACCAATGGCATACTTGAAGAAAATCCAAAGAAAATCAACTTCCCTAATCCCTGAGATCTTTTCAACTTTATCCCAACTATGTCCTCAAATAATTTCTTTCCCTTTCTTTTATATTCCTAACAGGCGATATGTTAAGAATTATTACCTTTGTTGATTCCAGAAGAGCAGGAAAGTAGAATTTGGGTTTCAAATCAGTCCTCTATCAAATTACTCTGTCTCATTCCTCACCACAATACCCCACCATTCCTTTTTAAGAGTCACTTGGGCTTATCAAGTGATTTTTAGATTACTGGTAGAACAAGCAATGCTATACTTTTTGTTGATAAAAAGCATCTAATATTTACCATGCATTAAACCTTTTCATAATTCATATACCTTTCATTCTCACATCACACTTGCTGTTTAGCTGGTTCACATTTTACATCTGTACTTACTGTGGGGGAAGCCTGATTTTCTGAACCTGCTCTCCACATGTTGCTGAAACACAGCATAGTGAGGGTGCTATTGGTTTAATCTTGCTGGTCAAAGTGTGGTTGGTAAAGCAGCAAGGTTTCCATCACCAGGGAGCCTCATGGTCTCAGGTTTCCCTCCTCCCCGACCTGCTGAAACAGAGGCTGCCCTCAACAGTACCTCCAGGTGACTGGCAGCCACTTCACAGCTTGGGAGCTACTCAGCTGGACACCTAACTCTGGGTGAACCTGGAGAAGATAATTTGCCTCTCTTTCCCATGAATTAACTGGTTCACATATGTGACAAGTAAGAAAATACAGCGGGGGGAAGATGTGACTTATAATCAATTTAGCACCAGAAGCATGTTACAGCCACTATACATTATTGCCTAATTTTTACCTCTAGGCAATTACAGAAGAGGAAAGTACTGGTTTTAAATTTAACTTAAAGTGCATTTGAAAATATTTATTCTTCATCTAAGAGTTTGAACACAGTAAGAAATATCCCCTACCACACTGGGGAACCTTACACCTGAATCTCAGTGTGTGTGCATACAAAAGCCATTATACAAATACTAAACTCAAGGATATAGCTCTATGATGTCTAATAAGTAAATTTCCCTGTAATGTAAATCTGAAGGGAGATAATCTTTGTTACTCACAACTGCCAGAATTCATAATGAAGTTCAAATATTTTTAGAATAGCTGTTTAAATAAATCACTTCAGAAAGTTCATTTTTGGGCCAGTGTTGTGGTGTAACAGGTAAAGCTGCAACATGTGAAGCCAGCATCTTACATGGATACCAGTGTGTGTTCCAAGGACTCCCCTTCCATTTACCTCTGGGGAAAGAAGATGGCCCAAGGATATAGGCTTCCACCACTCACATGGGAGACCTGAATGAAGCTCTTGAGTCTTAGCTTCAGCTTGGGCTACCTCTGGCCACTGCAGCCATCTGGGAAGTGAACCAATTTGTCTCTTTGCATAATATAGTCTCTCTGTCTCTAATTCTGTCTTTCAAAGAAATTTCATCTTGAATACAAGCTGAATTCATTTTCTGCCTGTGCTTGAACTTCAGGTTATAAGTCCACCTGTAAAGAGGAAGAGAGTTGCTTACATGTGAACCATAGCAGAAAAGGTCCAGTCCCAACTCGAGCCCCATGCCATAGTCACATTCATCATTAGCAAACTGCACAAAGGTTGTCATTTCCTGAATGGGTGCAAAAGCTTTTAATCTCTCCTCGTCACTTTCAGCCTCAACAATTGCCTTGCAAATTCTTTTGAGGTCCGCTGAAAGAAGTACATGACATTAGAAAATATATATATTATCTATGCAATTAAAAACTTATAAGCTTAGAATCACATAATAACTATAGATGGGGGGAGGTGTTCTTTCATGACTCAGTAGGGTTACAACTGACGCCCCCTCAAGGTAGGAATCTGCAAAACCGTAACAGAATGGTAACGTCACAATTTTCTGCTTAGAATTCAAGCACAAAAATGGCTTACCAGAGATTTTTTGGTACTAGCCAAGTGTGATTTTCACAATGAGTCCAGTTGCAACAGTGGTTTTTCATAGGCTCTGAAATATTTTCAGTAGGCTAGCTAGTCCAGAAATGGATAAACTTTGGCTATGGGGGGAATCCACCAGTTTTTAATTACCCTCAAATAAAGAGTTGTTATTGGAAAGGCGGATATACAGAGAGGAGAGACAGAGAGGAAGATCTTCCGTCCAATGATTCACTCCCCAAGTGAGTGCAACAGGTCGATACTACGCCGATCCAAAGCCAGGAGCCTCTTCCGGGTCTCCCACGCGGGTGCAGGTTCCCAAAGCTTTGGGCTGTCCTCGACTGCTTTCCCAGGCCACAGGCAGGGAGCTGGAAGGGAAGCGGGGCTGCCGGGATTAGAACTGGCGCCCATATGGGATCCCGGGCGTGCAAGGCGAGGACCTTTAACCACTTGCGCCACTGCGCCGGGCCCTACTTTTGCATTTTTAAGTGGTTCCATCACAAAGTTGCTCAGAGGTAGACCATCTGGTTGCATACAGATGGTGTCTGCCAGCCCTGCAGCCATCTGAGGAGTGAACCAACAGATGAAAGATTTCTCTTCCCTCCTCTGTAAGTGACTTTAAGTAAATCTTTTTTTCTTTTTTTTTGGAAGAAAAAAGTAAAATCAGATGAAATTTCCCTTTTTAAAAAATAAGGTAGGATGGGGCAAATAATGAATGGTGGCATGGTGAGTTAAACATCAGCAGTTAAAAAAAAAATAAAACTACCAAAGAGAAGTGCTGCCATGGCTGAAGTATAATTTGAAGTAAAACATTAAAAAATTTTAATTTTTATCTAAATAAAAATCATGAGCTTCACATTTCTATTTTGGGTTTCAATATTTTTCTTCATGATTTTCTGGATGCCACTGTGCATCAGATCTCAGGACGCAAGTGAGTTTGAGGGTAATGAAAATTGAGGAATTGGACCTCCTTTTCTGATGATGCCTTTCTGATAGATAATCCAGTTATGACAAAAAATGGATACTATGCAAATCAACAAGCTACGTTTCTAACCAGAGGAGCACTGCTTAAACATTAACAGTCACAGCTAATAAGTAATTTAAGGCGAGTTAAACTGCTAAGTGCAGTTTACAGCAATCCCACTTGAGTGCTAATGAGAGTCTTAGCTACTCCACTTCTGACCCAGGTTCCTGCTAACGAGCCTCGGGAAGCAGTGGAAGATGGCTCAGAAATCTAGGGACTCTCACATCCATCTGGGAGGTGTGATGGAGTCCCAGGCTCCCACCTTCAGTTCTGGTCATTTGAGCCTTCTGGGGAGAGAACCAGCAGATATTTAGATTTTTCTGTCTCTCTCTACAACTCTGTATATGAATACACACACAGAGGGAAAATTAAGTCATTTAAAATTACATGTAAAAGGCACACTACTATGATGATACTAAAAACACATGGTGTAAAATGATCAAACATGGGAAGTTGTGGTACAGCATGTTAAGCCACAATTGTGGGCACTCAAATCCCAGAGCTGATGTGAGTCCCAGCTACCCCACCTCGGGCCTAGCTTCTTGCTAATGAGCCTGGGTGAGCAACCAGTTATGGTCCAAGAATTTCAGCCCTTCCACTCAGGTGGGAGATGGTGGTGGAGTTCCTGGCTGCTGACTTAAGCCTGTCCCCATCCACAGTGTTGTAGCACTTGGGGAGTGAACCTGCAGATGAAAGATCTCTGTCTCTCCCACTGTCACTGTCTTTCAAATAAGTAAGAAGTCTTTTTTTATTCAGAGTAGTAAGGATTTACTAGGGCTTTTCAGTTCAGTCTAAGAATATAATTTGATCCATTCAAATCATGACAGTCCTAATAGGAATGCATGCTGTTCTGTGAGATTACAAAATATCTTTTATTTCCTTTCCCATCTTTGGTAGTTAAGCATCACGCTGGACAAATGGGCAATCTTTATCACCTATATTCCTGCCTATCCAGAAGGAATAGTGGCATACTTATGGATTTGAAACTTTAAAGAAAATAATTTTATATAAGCTCTTTGATCTCCCTTAAAAAAACAAACACCACATCACTAGGGATTTCAAGTGCTCCTCTTTTTGGGTCAGCTCAGCTCCAGCCATTGTGGCCACTTGAGGAATGAATCATCAGACGGAAGATCTTCCTCTCTATATAACTGACTTTCCAATAAGAATAAAATAAATCTTAAAAAAAAAACTACCTTAATAGTTAGATAAAGATTAAATAATGGTAACTAGACACAGTATTTGATATCGTAAATTATACATAGCATTTAAGAATTGCTCTATAAATGGTAATAGTATCTTTTTTGCCATATTAAAATATTATCATAAGGAGTTTCAAGGAGCATATAGGTTGAGAATCAATTTAACTGTGATTTGATGTTCACGGTCACACATTAACAAACTGCCTATTAATTACAAGTCTTAGCAAACAGCTCTAGAAAAGAGCAAGATATTAGGCCCTGAACTAGTCTTGCCACCAGTTCTCATGCAGATGTCACTGAAATGCATAAGATCTAGTGCCCAGAGTATTACACTTGGACATAAAATCCCAGAACCACAAGCAGATTTGGGTAACAAGTTTTAGCTCAGGGCACAATTTAACATCCACTACCTCTCAAGTTTCAGAGACTGCTATTTCCATAACAAATGTCTCACCCTTTCCCAAACAAGATGACAACATGCATGCTAAAGTTTTGCTGGGTCAGCAAGCAGTGAGAATAAACAGATGACCACATGAAGCATAAACAAAAGTTTGGGTAGCAGCCAGAGCCCATGTGTCTTCCCCATCAGAGAATGAGTACCTCTGGCTGCAAGGAGAAGACACCAGGGCAGATTAGCTTGTCCAAGAGAAATTTAATAGGGGACACCTAAGTAATTAAAATATGTTAAGAACCCATTATCAAAAAAGAGGTAAAATTAGATATTTTATGTAATCCATCATTTTTAATGTGGTATCATATACTCAACATAAAAAAATTCAATTCAGTCTTATTTCAATTGATAAATTTAAATGAAACAAAATTACAAATCTGTTCTTGGCCACATCAGCTGCATCTTAAGTGTTCAGTGGCCACATGTGGCTAGTAGCCAGTGCACTGGGTAACTGCCATATTCAATTGCCCTCGGAATTCCTCTAAGGTGAGAGGGAAACAGCAAAAAGCTAGTTGTGAATAGTTGTCACATGGAACCTCTTGAATTACTGACTGCAGGCTGCACAATAAGGCCTGAGCACAGCTGCTTTAAAGAATTGCTAGAAAATGTGGATTTTTAGGAACCACCTCCAGAAACCCATAACTACCAAGGACAGTTGGTTTTGCTTTGAAAAATAGGATGCCAAATATTTTGTCTTCCTTTGAAGAGATAGTAATTTTGACTTCCCTTTAAATTCTATTCCATTGTCCTCTCCCACTTCCTAGAACTAGATGACAAATAAAGTAATACCAACAGGGAAGTTCATAATTAGAGGAAAATTAAGAAAAGGGGAAAAGTGATTCTTAAAAATTTTTTTCAGCATTGCAATAATTAGATCTTGTTAATTTTCATACTTAAATAGTTCAGGATCTTGGGATTCTGAAATCTATCTTTACATACAGATGAAAAAATATTCACAAGGAAATAAACCAAAGTACACTATTTCAATAATTACTATTTTATACAATGCTGTGTGAAAGAATCCAACAGTTCAATAAAACTAGGCAATACATTAGAATACTTCAAATTCTAAAGTTAGCTACCATATTTGCATAAGCACTGTGCTAGGCAACTTACTCTTATACTCCCAACTACCCCAATCAAGTGATTATCATTAATCTGCTTTATAGATGAATAAGAACCAGTGGCAAGACTAAGTTTAGTGAAGTTATACTTTGCTCAAAGTCATTCACAGTTACAAACCCAGCTCTAATTCAGGCAGGCATGGCTAGAATCAACTTGCTCTTTATACCTAAGGTCTCGTGACTGTCTCACAAAGGACCTAAATGCATGTAAAGAAAACCTTCTCCACAACATGTCATTATATGCACGTGCTTACATATGAGATCTATTACCATCTGTTTCAGGGAGTTCTCTGTATCCAACATCATTTTTATCTACTGGAACAACCAAGCCTGCTCCATGAAACGTCTTTGTCACAACCTAAGTTAAAAAGAAAGAAAATTCAATCATGATAAATACAAAAGGAATCAAAGAAAAAGCAAACCATAAAACACTCTCATGCCAATTTGTTTCAGTAACTTTGGATTATGAGATGAAATTTTTTAGTAGTATGTTTTCTTTTAAAAGTAATCAAAATTTTCATCTTAACTTTGGCAATATGAAGTGACAATCTAATATAGTCGTAAGTATAAAAAGCAAGTCATAAAACAATGTTGTGTAAAGAAAAAAGACAGTGATATAGCTGCTGACTTTTGCGTCAGGCTGAATGATACACAATGGCTGTAGCGATAGGAATGTACTTGCACAAGTAATTATTAGTTCTAAATGCCTAGAAAGATGTATATGTTATTAACAGATTATCAGAATCTGAAGTTAATCATGAAGAACTGGATTATAAATTAGGAAAACCCTGTTACAAGAGTGGTAGCTTGAAGCCTCAAAGTGGAAACGGGTTATGAGTCCAAAGAGAAGCAGAAGAGACTTTTGTTTTTAATCTACTGGTTTACCTCCCAAAGGGCTGCAACAGCCAAGGCTTGCCATGCTGAAGCCAGCAGCAAAGCTCTTCTTCCAGATTTCCCATGTGGGTACAGGACCCCAGGCACCTGGACCATCTCCCGCTGTTTTCACAGGTACCTGCCTCAGAAGCAGGGCAACTGGTACTGGAATCGATGCCCATATAGGACTTCTGTGTACAGGGAGACGCTTTACCTACTATGCCACAATCCTGGCCCCCTATCCTCATTTCACAGCACCATTTAACCAGTCTACTTTGTTTCTGGAAATGGCACACAGCCTATATAAACCTCAATTTACTTTACACAGAATGATTAATTCCTACTTTGTTTCGGATTTACTGTAGGGATTAAATAATATAATTTCATAACTCAAGCAAATTTTGCATGCCAAAGTACTGAAAGGTATTGTCAGTTTAAAAACACTGATTTCTGGGACTAGTGCCATGGCTAGGAGATTAAGCCTCTGCTTGTGATGCCAGTACCCCATATGGCATCTAAGCTACTCCATTTTTTGGGGGTATGACTTATTCAAAGTCTTGATAAAATTTAAAAAGCTATTCTCCCTTTCCTTCCTTTCATTTCATTAAATTAAAAATTTTCTTTTTAATACTATTTACATAGTTGAGGGTTGTACATATCTGTTTGCCTCTGATGAGGAGGGTCAGGTAGGGAGGAAGTGGGACAATGTTTCTATTTTTTACCTCTTGTGTCCCCAGAAGAGGGAATGGGAGGGGGCCACTCCTTGCTGCCAAACTGCAGTAGCACTCAGCTCCAGTCCTGGGTGCTAAGCTGCAAGTCCTGCCTTCGGGCTTTGGTCAGGCCCAGCACTAGCTGTTGTAGCCACCTGGGGAGTGAACCAAGGGGTGGATGCACTCCACATCCCCTATGCCCTCTCTCTCCATCTGTTTCCTTTCTTTGCTATTCTACCTTTCAAATAAATGTCTTAAAAAGAGAGACAAGAAACGGGAATAGAAACAAACAGAAAAAGGAAAGGAAAAGGATCTGAAAACAATCACCAGTAGAAAAGGATAACATCATGGGAGGCTCATAATCTTTTCTCTTTGTATTTATGCTTTTACTAGCCACTGAAGAACATAAACTAAGAGAATTTCACAGCAGGGACAGAAGACAGAAACTCTTACTACATCTTTGCATGGGAAAGAATTAAGGAAATTTTCTCTGAAACAAGATCACGTGAGAAAAACAAGATAAGGTTCTGATGAAAAGAATCTGCCAACAGAAAAAGGCCAAGTGTAGCCTGTTGACTTGGATGCTTTTGTCCCATATGTGACTACCGGGAACTGACTCCTGGATCTGGCTCTTGACTGCAGCTTCCTGCCAATGCAAACCCTGGGCAGCAGCAGTGACATCATCAGTCACTGAATTCCTAACATTCATGTAGGTGATCTGGGTTGTGTTCCAGCTCCTGGCTCTGGCCCAGGCCCAGGCATGGCCATCATGGCCATTAAGGAATGAACCACAGAGGAGGGGAGCTCCTCAAAAAAAAAAAAAGATACATGAAAACAATTTACTAAGAGCTATTATGCCTATACAAGTTCAACTCTACAAGGCAAGTTAGGAATACATAATGGCAAGGCTAGAAATGGTACCTTTCCTTCTAGTTGTGGGGTAAGATATTTTCCATGATAAACAAAAATGTACAATAGCACACAAAACATAAAGTAATGTAAAAATATGAATTTAATTAAAACATCCTTTATGGACTAAAGAAGGAGAATTACAGTAAGACTGTAATTTAACATCTATAATTTACCAGACTATCACTTCTGCAACAAACACTATCAAGCAGAGGAGGAGCTAAACCAGGGTTCTCGAACCCAGCATAATTTTTGAGCTGTGAGTATGTCATTTGGCTTAGCATGTTCACATGAACACGTCACAGGGGACAGAGATGAGAGGTGGGAGACTCAAGAGCCCTCATTCCAGTGGCAAATGCCATTCCTCCCCAGGGGTTACAACTAACATCTACAGAATTCTCATTTACCACTAAGCAGAATTCTTCCAGCTTGTCTGTTAACCTAGTCTGAAATTTATAGCTGAAAACTCAAAAGGAGCCAAATTTCAGAAATATTTGCCCATTTATGAAACATTCTCTTGATACCACCTATATTGGGGCGACACAACAGGAAACACTGATATGTGTAAGAAGAAGGAAGGAGAACTGCTTACAGACACACTTTGAGAAAACAAAGCTGTCTTAATGCATAAGGTCTCACAACAGGAAACTATCTTTGAGGAAGGCACTTCAAAGCAAACTTGTATGAAGCCACTACGGACCTAAACCATTATGAACTGAAACAGACCTCAGCCACAAAAAAAGGAAATTTCAAGTAAATATCACTACATACCAAGCTTTGTGAAATTAAAGGTAAGATGAAGAGTGGCAAATTTCTGGCATGAGTTATGCAACCTAATCAACATCCCCAGTTAAGCAATCCAGTCTGTGTATCAATTTCCAGAAGCCATCAGCCCCTACCAATCTCCTGATAAGCCAGGAGCCCTTTAGGGAGCCCTCCGAGCTCTACTCATGACAAGGTTAGAGAAGGGTAAGGTGCAGGTGGGAAGGATGTGGAGGGAAAAAAAAATAAGCGGCCAGAGAGACTGACACTAAAATCATACTTTCTTATCTCTCTGTTTCATCTTCGAAGTTCTCTGCTCCAGTGAGTATCCCAGCGCCCGGGCAGCTTCTGTGAGTTTGGCATCAATGTTTTTCAAGAGACTAGTCTTCTTTTTATCTGTTGCTTCTTTAAGCTTTTTCATCAGAAACAATCTGCAGAAGAAGTTGAAGCACTTATTATATCTCAGGCCACTGCACTAATGATAAGGATTTTGAACAATTAAGGAAGCTCAATTAAAAATGTTAAATTGCATCTCTCACAGGAAACTCTACAGGCAAGAAGAGAATGGAGTGACATGTTCCAGATTCTAAAAGAAAAAAATTGTCGGTCTAGGATAACATACCCCGCAAAGCTTTCTTTCGTCTTTGAAAATGAAATAAAATTCTTCCACAGTAAAGAAAAGCTAAAAGAATTTGCCTCTTTCAAACCTGCCCTACAAATGATACTTCAAGATGTTCTCTTGACAGAGAAGAGGAATAGCACCCACCAAAACCAAAGGCAAACGGGAAGAACATCCCAGTAAAATGACAACAGAAGACTAAACCAATGAACAATCCATTCCTAAAATGACAAGACCAAAGTACCACCCATACATATTAAACTCTGAATGTAAATGGCTTAAGCTCAATCAAACGTCATAGATTAGTAGACTGGATTAGTAGACTGTTTATTGTCTGTAGGAGACACACTTCAACAAATATCAGCAGAAACTATATCACATGGGTTTTGTTGTTTTCTGTTGGTTTCATCTCTTCAAAACACTTTCTTCTGATTAAATCATTCAATGACTCGTAAATCATGCAGTGGCATCATTTTCTTCATGAAGGTTCTTGATTTTCATTTCTTCAGCTACACATTAGTCATTTAATAGCATGTTGTTTAACTTCTTGATGTTGTTAATTTCTTTTTTCTCCTGGATGCTGAGTTTGTTTTGTGGCACTTCATTTAAGGGGATGTATAGTAGCTGTGTAATGGAGACTGTCATATCTAGTAACATGTCATTTAACTTCATGGCATTGTAAATATCTGTTTTTCTTTCTGTTGTTGATTTTGTATCATGACTTTTCATTTTAAGGGAATGTACAGTAGTTATGTAATGGAGACTAACATTCAGATGTGAGAATGCAATGTGGTATGCATTTCTGTTTCCAGACAAAGATGGAGTTACAATGAAACTGTTTACTATATCTTGACAATAGGATTCTGGACTATCTGCCATTGTTCATGTCCGCAATGATGGACATATGACTGAGTATGAAGAACTATATGTTAGTAATGATATAGAGGAACTGGGTGGGGGGGAGGAATTGGGGAGGGAATAAGGGAATATGGAACTGTATCATAAAATGATAGCAATAATAATAATAAAATGTAAAAAGAAGTTAAATTGCATGAAAGAAAAAGCAGAATAATTGCTAAAGGTTCTCTTGAAATTCCTGAACATATTCCTAAAAAGCTCTAAAAAGCAATAGTGAATAAAATCTGCCAGTCATAGGGATAACGAATACAATTTGTTAGTACTAATTCTCTAATGCCTATAACAAAACATATGAGGCATTTAAAAAGCTGATCTTAAGCCAAGTTTTAAGTTGCATAGCTTGCTTGATATTAAGTTCTGGCATCATCGTTTGGAGAAATCTGGAACACATCAAAAACCTTATTTTTACAGAGCCAGGGGAAATCATTATATCTTTTAGTTAATCCACTTTTTAAAAAAAATGCTAACCTCAAATATGTTAAAATAAATTTACAAAATATAAAAGAAAAACAAAGCTAATTTATAAGCGTATACAACAGCAGAAGATAAGGTAGATTTAAAAGGATGAAAACTGTATATGTTAATCCCTGTTTCAAAAATAATTTGTTTTCTTATAAACTGATTAAATTTGTTGACAGTAGTATAGAGGGTAAAGAGTCAAAGGAAAAGCTCAAAGTGGCACTCGGTTGGTGACTCAAGTCAATTCTCCTACTCTGGAACAGTATCAGACTCCAGAAAGAAACACACTTCTTTTAACCCAGCCATTCAGGGTGTATATCTTTTACTCCAACATGCTATAGCTGAGTATTATAAAACAGGCTTAGAGCATTTACAGGAGGTGCTATTCTTAGTTGCAACTCACAAAAATAAATTTTAAAAAAGAAGCTATCAACTTACCCAAGCTTAAAGAACTATTAAGGGTAGAATGCCTCTAAAACCTAAATCATTAAAATCATTACCTTCTGAATACAGCATATATATGTACATTAAATCCTACCTTCAGTCACAATCAGTAGTGTGCCAGCAGAATGTCTATACTAACCATAAAAAAGAGAACTTGGTCCTACCGGGCTGGGTCTGAGAGTCCTCAGGCTTCTTCAACCTCACTGGCATGGGATATAGGACATAGCGGTACTGTGCCATGCCACGTTCATTACTTCCTTATTTTGGTGCATACTTTGCTGTCTTGCCTAAGATGCCTCAATTCCCTATTCTTTCCAGTAAGTTTTCATGCACCCATCAGTGCCCAGGTAAAACAGCCTCTCTGACTTCTACCACTATTTAAGGTATTTAAGTCAAACTAATGCATTAGTATAGGAAGAGGGTGCTATCTCTACACAAATTTATTAACCTTTTGCCTCAGTTTCAAATCTGTTCTCCAATACTCTACTTTGGGATGATTAAAGTCTAATGTGCAAGCAAAAGTTGTAAATATAAGCATTTTGTGTTCTCATACATTAAATCAATTGGAATTCCCTGAACTCTGACATGCATATTTTATAGCAGTATGCCACGGTCACTTGGGAATTACTTCCTAAATTACATGAATTTCCCAAATGTTGAGCTATCATTGTTTCAAATTAACTCCACTATATAACAGTACAAAAAAGATTGATACAGTAATATAAAATTAATTCCATTACACAACAGTACAAAAAAGTATGCCTATTAATATTAGCACAAATCTCCTTATAAAGTCCTTACGTAGTATGAAGCTGCTAAGATAAAAATTTCACCAGCTTAATTCTTGCCTTAACTTTTTCATTTTATCATTGGCAACAAATGCAAACTTCTTTGGCTCATTTGAGGAAACCAGTGTTCTACAATCACCCACCCTTGACAATAGAGTATGTTCATCACTCACTCTCTCAAGTACAGTGGGAAAAAGTTGAACACAAAAAATCATAGAAACACTTTTTTCTTCGAGGTGAATCACAGTACTTGGGTATGCAGAAGTTTACCCTTTGTACTTTCCACTTCTTTTTCAAACAGAACAGTAGAAAGATGTTCTCAGCAGTTCAGATCTAACATGCTTCTACCTTTTCATCACCGACATTCCCACATGGCTCTTGGCGTTGCTTACTGCTCCAAGTAATGCAATGACTGCTGCTAATTTCTTAGCACTATCTTGATTCCTGCCATGGTATTAGCAGTATGATCCACCTTATTTGTATCACATTTCATTATCACAGGTAGTTTTGACTTAAGAGTCCCTGCGATAGTCAAATTTATTTGATTATTTTGGAGGGGAAAAAATAGGAAAGAAAAAAAAAGTAATTTTGTTGTCTAAAGGTAAATATTCTGAATGTAAATATACTTAAATTGTTTTCTGTATGCATGAGAAAGTAATAAGTGGGATTGTTCTACACTATTTTGCATCTGCCCTCTTCACAAAAAAGACTAATAATTATACAATAATTATACAACTAATAATTATCATGGCATTATGACATTTAGGCATTTTATATTTATCTACTTTTCACTACTGCTGGAGATGCACACTATTTCCAATTTTTCATTTTTATAGATAATTTAATGAACTTGTCCAAAATTCCTTTATTAAACCAGAAAGGCAGATTTATAGACTGGGGAGAGACAGAGAGAAATAACTTCCATCTGTTGGTTAATTCCCCAAATGACTGCAGTGACTGGAGCCAAGACGAAGCCAAAGCCAGGAGCTTCCTTTGGGTCTCCCACATAGGTGCAGGAAGCTGGGTGGAAAGTGGAACAGCTGGGACACAAACTAGAGCCCAAACAGGATGCTGGTGCTTATGGGGTGGGGATTAGCCAATTGAGCTACTGTGGCAGCCACTCTTTCTTTTTTTAAGATTTATTTGAAAGGCAGGATGAGTGTGTGGACAAGAGAAAGAGAGAGAGAGAAAGAGAGAGAGAGAGAGTTGTTCCATCAGCTACTTGATTCCCCAAAAGGCTGCAATGAGGGATAGGCCAGGCAGAAGCCAAGAGCTTCTTCTCCTGGGTCTCCCATGTGAGCACAGAAGCGCATGTGATTGAGACATCCTCCACTGCTTTTTCCAGGTTATTAACAGTGAGCTGGATCAGAAATGGAGTAGCTGGGACTCCAACAGGTGACTATATCAGATGCTAGCATCACAGGCAATGGCTATACCAGCTATGCCACAATGCTGCACCCCCCACTTTCTAACCCCAACATCCCTTTTAATGAAGCAATATGGCTGACTCAAGGTTTTAAAATGTGTACTCAGTACATTACCTGGCAAGTTAATTATATGCAAGTAATCTTGTGAAATAGCTGCTTAAATGTTTTTCAGTTTTATACAAAAAATTTTACAAATCAACACATCACTATGGTTTCTTACAGTCTAGCTATTATTGGTTAGTGCCATTCTTACCTTCACTAATCTTTGCTGATTTAATTTGCATTTCTTTAGCTAGTATTAAATATTATTTTTGCTGTGTATAAAAAATAACTTGTTTATAGCAAATGGCTGCAAGATAAGTTAGAAATACAGAAAGAGTTAAGTGTTCTGATTAGATGAGAAGCAAAAAGTTCCCCCTACCCAAATTAAAACAGCAATAATACTTAAGTAGTTTTAAGACAGTTCTATCTGAAAGTTATCTTTTACCACTGTGTTTGAGATAAAATAATGGAGGTAGTTCCTCAAATACTCACTTGCTGGTCTTCACCTAAATTATAAATATCATCCATGATTTTTTTTTTCATTTTCCTTTTCAGTGTTCTCCAATAAGCTTAAAAAATACCAGAGAAGTTAGATCATTTTAAATAACCACTATTATCTTTCTAAAAAGAGATTTCTATTAAGACAAAGAGTATTAAGAACACAAAATTAGGTGTTTTTACATGTCAAGGCATTCATAGAATTATTTATATAGCAGCTACTATGGAGCAGGTAACCTGCACAAGATGAAGCTTCTGGGTCCAGCACAATGACCCAGCAGCTAAATCCTCGTCTTCCGTGCGCAGGGATCCCATATGGGCACCAGTTCATATCCTGGCTGCTCTACTTCCCATCTAGCTCCCTGCCTGTGGCTTGGGAAAGCAGTCGAGGACAGCCCAAAGTCTTGGGACTCTACGCCGGCATGGGAGACCAGGAAGAGTCTCCTGACTACTGGCTTTGGATCAGTTCAGTTCTGGCTGTTACAGGCACTTGGGGAGTGAAGCAGCAGGGAATAGATCTTTCTGACTCTCCTTCTCTCTGTAAATCTGCTTTTTCAATAACACACACACACACAAAGCAATAACAATAAAAAAAGATAAAGCCTCTGACTTTTTGTTAGTATGAGACAGACAATAACTAGAGTTGTTAATAAAGTTAAAAAATTACATGATAAATCTGAAAGATTTAAAAAATCTATATAAATTATAGCTACCAAGCCACATTTTCTACCAAGCTCACACTAGTAGCAAAAAGCCTTCTTTTAAGCAGCTACATTGTAGCTTCCCTTTGGAGACCTCACTGTGTAATATAGCAACCTACTGGTTGCGCTAGGCTGATTTAGTCTGAATTCTCCTTACTGAAATTTGCACTAATAAATCATGGAGAATAAAAATTCTGTAACAGGAGAACAGGGACTAGGTGTTTGGACTATGTTAAGGTGCTCTATGAGATGCTAACATTCCACACAGAACTGCCTGGGTTCAAGTCCCAGGAAGCCTTCCAGCTTCCTGCTAATACGTACTCAGAGCAAAGGAAGGCTTAAGTATGAGGCAGCCCTCACCTGAATTCCTGGCTCCTGGCTTCAGCCTGATTCAGCTGCGGTGAACAGGTAGATGGGTGCTATACAGTCCTCTCAAGTAAACTAACTACATTTAAAACCATAAATGGACAGTTTAAATGCAGTAATGTTAAAATATGCTTTACTTGTTATACTAAAAATAGTAAGAGATGCTTTCTTCAATTTATTACAATGCAAACTGCATATCTGCCAACACATGGCTTCAAGTCATGTCTGTGGCTGATATGGCAAGGATTGGCTTGCTCAGGCCCATTCTGAGCCCTTTCACATGAAAGCTTGCTGCATTTCCCATATTAGTCTTCAGCTTAGGCTCCACATGGGACCTGGTTTCTCTCAAGCACATGTGATTCTTTGAAATCTGAAGGGTAGACAAAGCATGAAGGGCAGGCTGGGCTTGTGCTGTTTTCACCAGTACCCCACTGAAGCAGCAGCTAACTGTTCTATAGCAGGCAGATGAGAGCTCAAACTCATCCTTGGCTTCAATGAGGTTGAAAGGCAGAGGAAAGGACATCCATTGTATTGGTACAGGCTATAGCTGAGACAATCAAGTCCCAGACCAACACTCTGCAGAGCAGTTCTTGGTTTCCCAGCTTCTTGGCCATGACAAGGATAAGCTTTATCAGTGAGCCAGTTCTCCCACACACCTGTCATCCTGGGGATGCAGCCTGTACATTAGCCCTCCCCTTTTATAAATATTTACTGTACTAAACACATTTGAACTGTATAACTTAGGTTATTACATTAAACTTAAAAATATTATTTTTTTATTAGACAGGCAGATTTACAAAGAGGAGAAGAGATAGAAAGATCTTTCATCTACTGGTTCATTCCAAGTAGCTGCAATGGCCAGAGCTGAGCCAATCTGAAGTCGGGAGCCAGGAGATTTCTTTTGGATCTCCCACATTGGTGCAGGATCCCAAGTCTTTGGGCCACCCTCTACTGTTTTCCCTGGCCACAAGCAGGGAGCTGGATGGGAAGTAGAGCAGGTGGGATACAAACTGCACCCATATGGGATTCCGGTGCATTCAAGGTGAGAACTTGAACCACCAGGACCTACATCTGACTCTCAATGACAGGGTTTAAAGTCAATTGTCCAAAAGAACTTTTCAATTTGACAAGGGACATCTGAAGTCAAGACTGAACAGCAGGGGCCAGCACTGTGCAGAGTGGGTTGAGTTGCCACCTGTAGTACCAGCATCCTTATGTAGATGCTGATTTGATTCTGGGATTCTCCATTTTTAACCCAGCTCCCTGCTGATGAATCTCAGAAGGTGGCGGAGAATGGGCCAAGGTCTGGGACACCCACACCGAAATGCAAAACCCAGAGGCTCCAAGGTTCAACTTGGCCTGGTCCTGGATATTAAAGGCCTATGAGCAGTCAAACAGTGGATGGAAGATCTCTCTGTTTCTCTAACTCTGTCCTTCAAACAAACAATTGAAAAAAAAAAAAAGATCTAGCAGATTTTCAGCAAATAAAATGGACATATGACAGTTAAATAATATTTTCATTAAATAAAATGGTTATATTTTGGGGAAGAGTAGTAAAATTTTGGAAAAATTATCTCCAAAAGCAATCAAAATGAGTTCAAAAAGCCTACAACTTTTGGTTCACTAAACTTTTCCCTTTTAACAGACTGATAGAGTGTAAAAGCTGTAAATATATTTAACTATAAAGAGAATTGATATATTTACTCACTTAACTGCAGCAAACACATTATCTCCATGTTGAACAATTACACAATTTTTCTTTGCTTCATTTGCACCAACGTAAACAGGAAGTTCATCAGGAGAATCCCTGTTTGAGCAAAAGATATTATAAATAATAGGCAGCTATTTTCATTTAATAGGCAAGTTAGAATTATAGGTCTATAGGCAGTAACTTTATACTTCAATAAATTGAAACAATTTGCCAGATTTAAACTTCAATTTTTTAAGCGTCAACAGCAAATCTTACCTTTATTACAGAACCTAAAATTCTTTCATATCCCCCAATTTTTTAAAGACTTATTTATTTGAAAGGCAAATTATTTTAGGATTTATTTTTATACCCAAATACAGAGAAGGGGGAATAATGTTTCAACAGGGAAAATTATACTTTATCTTCTCTATACCAGTTTTACAGTTTGAAGAGAGACAGAGGAAGAGAGAAAGGTAGAAAAATTAAGCAAACAGGATAGAAGATTAGAAAACTTTACAGGCAGAAGTAGGTGTTTAAACTAATAATTAGGATGACTGAATCCATTACAGAGTCTGATGTGATGGCCAGCCTGAATTGCTGATTGCAGCTTCCTACCAACGCAGACCACAGGAGACAGATGGGGTAACTGGGCTGTGGCTGTGGCCATCATGAACTGTGCTCCTTCCTGGCTCAGCTCTGTCTCACTCTGCAGGTATTTGGGAAACTAAGCAGCAGATGGGACCATGTTCACAATCTTCCTCTCAAATACATAAAAATTAGAAGTAAACAAATCTTAAGTCATGTTTATAACCAAATTCTTTCTTTTTTTTAAATCAAGGAAGCTAATGCAGGAAGGTTCCATCACTTTGACATTAACTTACTAAAGTATGCAAGCAGATATTGATGCCAAAAACAGAAACCATATAACACGTTTCCTAGTCCCATAAGCACGGTTCTATACCACAGTCCTTTGCCCTGGGCACATTTTGTGTTTTTCCCCATTTACTTTACATTTAACCTCTACTTTACTTTTTTTTTTTTAAGATTAACTTTTAATTTTGTTGGAAAGGCAGATTTACAGAGAGAAGGAGAGAGAATGATCTTATGACCACTGATTCACTCTCCAAGTGGTTGCAATGGCAAGAACTGAGCCAATCCAAACCCAGGAACCAGGAGCTTTTTCTGTTTCCCACTTGGGTCCAGGGTCCCAAGGCTTTGGGTCATCCTCTACTGCTTTCCAAGGCTACAAACAGGGAGCTGGAAGGAAGGAACAGCTGGGATACAAACCAGCATCCACTTGGGATCCTTGTGTGTACAAGGCAAGGATAATGCCATTGAGCCACCACACTGGACTCTAATCTCCACTTTTAAATACCGCATTTTGGGGCCAGCATCATGTTTAACTGGCTAATCCTCCAGCTGCAGGTGCCAACATCCCATATGGGAGCTGGTTCATATCCTGGGTGCTCCACTTCTTATCCTGTTCCCTGCTAATGTCCTAGAAAAACAGTGGAAGTTAATTCTCTGTCTCTCCTTTCTGTAAATCTGCCTTTTCAATAAAAATAAATAAATTTTAAATTCCCACTCAAGCTACTTTTATTTTTTATATTCTAAGCAACTACATGTATTCATTTAATCCTTACCATATTATTATCAGATATTATTACCACTGTTACATGGGAGGAAACAGGTCACAGTGTGCCACTAGAGAGTGGCATGGCCATCATAATAAGCAGGAGCCCACTCTGACATGCTCCAGTAACACATCACTTATTTAGGTAACAATTTCTACTTTAAAGAATCTTAAACAAAAAATCCTCTGAACTCATAACTGGGGAAAAAGGGTTAACCCCAGAGTTCGCCCATTCCAAAGCAGTTTAAAATGGTAAAATCCAGCAAAAAAATGAAAAATAAGCCCTTCACCTTGGGAGATGCTGGTTAATGTCCTCTTTTGAACAGAATAGTGAGTGACTGTTTTCCAGAAAGGAAAAGATACTTTACCTGAAATACCCCATGTGGTACTGAGTTTTATTATCTCCAATAATAATGGTCTGGAACTCAGGAGGATCATAGTAAAATCTCCAGTGAAGGTTAAAATTGACACCTGTTGTTTTTTTCTTCATTTTAAGTTTTCCAGCAAGGATATCATAAGGACCCACTAATCGAAGTCCAAGGCTTGTGGAAAGTGAATCTACAAAAAAAGTAGATTTATTTATATAACTTTCTAGAGGAAGACGAGAAATAATGTTTTCTAATAAACTTTTTCTAAACAATTGTCTTTATAAACCGCATTGAAAATTAAAAAAAAGCAAAAAAAAGCAAAAAAAATCCTTCGGTTACATGTACAGGTGTTAGCTATATTCAAAAAGAAAACAGGGTCACAGAAATGTGGCATTCATCTGTAGGATGTCATCTTTAACTATTTTTCTTATTAGGAATATCTTTGAAAATGTTCCTTTTACATGAACTGCTTTTATCCTTGGCTCTGCCTCCTATGGCCTTTTCCATTTGTAGAAGTGATACAGGTAGAAGAAAAGCTAGGTTAGGTTAGACTAGGCAGAGAGCTAAAGATGGCATGGGGCTACATGGTCAGGAGACCACGTACATAGAGATAAGCTTGCAAAAACGAAATAGGAAGCTTGAACTACTATAAAGATGGAAACTATTAGATTAACAGAATGAGAGAGGAAAAACTGATTGTAAGGTAATCAAGCCACTTCAATGCTAAGCCAAGGGCCATGAGCAGCAAGTTAAGACGGACTGGCTATGGCTAACACACCTGGACCAGAGACTGACCAAATGAGAGGAATGGGAGATTAGAAGGCAGGATGAGTTCATTACGCTGAACACTGTTCTTGAAGGATATTACACAGGCTTTGCAAGGGGTATAAAACTGCAGATCACTTTCTTTCAGCTTTTTCCTTGCTGCTGAGAAAAGTGCTTCCTAGCTGCTTTCCCGGGAGTCTTCTCTGGTTGTTTTCAAGAAGGCCTTTTTCCGAAGGTTCCTTACACTGGGCCACTTGTCTACAAGAGCTATCTGCTCCCTTCAACAGTGCTTTGCTCAATATCACTTCATACTTGGTTGCAGACAGAGCACCTTGCAGAAGGCACTGTCAGCTGTAATAACAGAAGCAGGAGAATGATTCTGCAGCAACTCACCAGCTGGCTTCTCAGGATCCAGCTCTTCACAGAACTTCCAGAAGTGATAGAAATCCTCAGGCAGGGAGAGCTTGTAATGACTTTCCACTTCTTTCCGAAGGTCACTGGAGACATCAGCTTCAGAGGATTTGCTCTTCTTCATATCAACTGTTTTTTCACTCTGAAAGTTGACATGTAAAACTTTAGTTCTCCAAAATTAATTTCAAAAATTTTCATTGCATAACAGTACTGTTCATTCTTGTGATGTGTGTGTGTGTGTGTGTGTGTGTGTGTGTGAGTTTAATAAGCAGTCTTTTTTTTTTTCAGAAAAAAAAAGATATTATTCAGGGGCAAAAAAAGGAACAGTTTACAAGGTGATCAAGAGGGATCCCTGCAGGTCTTTAAATACATTTCTCTAATATAACAGCAACACAAAATACAGAGCAAACAAACAGAAAAGCAGAAATAAAGGCAGATGTTGTCCTCCTTGGGTTAAGGGGACGTCACTGTGCTTCTGTGGTTTGAACACACAGCATCACTGACCACACCAGAAACAAACTGTCTTTAGCGACTGTAGATGAGGCGAGTTGCTGGTGAAGTCACTACAGCAAAGCCAGCCAGAGTTGTGTCTGGGCTGCTCTCTACAATCATTACTGAGCCTTCACCTTAAAAACAGCCAACTGCCTTTTGCTATTCTGAATAGGCAGGGGAGGTTAGTATCAATCATGTATCAACAGTCTCTAACAGTGTTATCAAAACCCCAATTACTCCAGAGAGGCCTCTGAATGCCAGAATTAACTATAACTCTCATCTGTAAATCTTCTGTAATGTAAGTATACTGGGTTCTATAATTTTTATTAGATAACTTCATACATTTCTGTAAAGATACCATGCTTAGTTGGAGTTCATTAGGTAATATAAAGTTCCTTAGATCAATTCCATTTAGTAGAGTTTGTTAGAATGAAAAGTCAGGATACAGACAGCTCCCAGAACCAGGGGTATCGAAAACAATAATCAACAATGGCAGACAGAGTTTATAGGAAATGTTATAGATGTTTCCCATATTCTTCCATCAAGTTTATTGCTGTCATTTTCAGTGCCAAAGTCTACAAAATGTCTTGAAGAATCAAATAATACATACAATATTCATGCTGGTATTGTTCCTAAGAGCAAAACTGAAATGAAATGCCTACTGACAGGAAAATGGATATAAAAGCTTTCAAACAATGTAATACAGTGTTTAGTTAAAAGAAAATAAAGCTACACAATATGACCAATTTTACATCTTTTTTTTTTTTAAAGATTTATTCTATTGGAAAGACAGATGTATAGAGAGGAGGAGGAGGAGAGAGAGAGAGAAAGATCTTCCATCTGATTATTCACTCCCTAAGTGACCGCAAAGACTGGCACTGCACCAATCCAAAGCCAGGAGCCAGGAACTTCCTCCAGGTCTCCCATGCTGGTGCAGGTTCCCAATGCCTTGGGCTGTCCTCGACTGCTTTCCCAGGTCACAAGCAGGGAGCTGGATGGGAAGTGGAGCCGCCGGGATTAGAACTGGCGCCCATATGGGATCCCGTTGCATTCAAGGCGAGGACTCAACCATCATGCTATTGCACCAGGCCCTAATTTTGTATCTTTAACGAAGAAAAAAGTTCTCAAAGATTTTGAAAAGCATAACGACCTTTACCATAAAGTTCAAAACAACTACTCATGTGTATATCTACATATTCATAGGATAAAGCTATACAAAGAAGGCGAGGAACAACAAAACTCAGCAGAGTAGCGACATTGAACAGGATTATACGAAACAGTTACACAAGTATAGGGAAGGAACACATTTGTAGATGTAGCGCGGCTGTCAGTGAGTACTTGGGTTAAGCAAGAGATTCAGTGCTCTATTTTCAAACAAATAGGAGAGGAGCACAAATTAACCAATGATAAAGTTATTATGTGAATAATCATAATGCAACTTTCTGAAGTAAAAACCTGAAAAAGCTCTTGAGGCATGGATGTAAAAATGAGCGTCCATGAAAACAGCAACAAAGCAAACACCTATGAACACACACACCTATTTGCACTCTGCACCACGCCGCTGCTCTAAGCATGCTCCAGTAACTACTTTATAAGCTGGATACAGCATGCTCTCAGCAAGCTTAATTAATAGCTTAATAGGCTCTATTAACACTGCATAAGCTGGATACCACAGCAGAATCCATATTTTAGAGGTGAACGACGGAGGTTATGCAGCTTTCCCTACTTTCCTAACTAGAAAGTAGAGTAACAGGGATTTAAAACTATTGTTGTTTTTTTGAAGATTTATTTTTCTTATTGTAAAATCAGAGATACAGAGAGAAGGAGAGACAGAGAGGAAGATCGTCCTCCAGGCAGCCGCAACGGTCGCAGCTGAGTTGATTCAAAGCCAGGAGCCAGAAGCTTACTCCGGGTCTCCCACGTGGGTGCAGGGTCCCAAGGTTTTGGGCCATCCTTGACTGCTTTCCCAGGCCACAAGCAGGGAGCTGGATAGGAAGTGGGGCCGCTGGGATTAGAACCAATGCCTGTATGGGATCCTAGTGCTTGCAAGGTGAGGACTTTAGCCACACTGGGCCCTTAAACCTAGGTTTAAAGCAGGCTCCGGAGCAACATCACTTCCACCACTTCATGAGGCCGTTTCTCCAGCTACAAATACAAAACAGAACTTAGCAAGTCCTAAATCCTATCCTCTTCTGTTTTTGTAGCCTTTGCTATAATATCTGTTGTTATAGCTATCTTTGATTAGGCTTTCAAAGCCTGGTCCAAAGTTAGGATGCTGGAAAGCTTTCATGTGACTGCAGCAAAGCAGGTTGGTCTAACAGGTCACTTGGGTCGATCGCTGCTTTCCGGCTCTGTCACCTCTGTATCTTGTTTCTTATCTATCTGTCCCACAGTATGTTAAGAAGTGTGAATAATTCTATTTCACAATGCACAAGACAGCCTTAACACAGAACATATCAATACTGGCTGTTATTCTTGACTAAAGTCTCCAAAGGCTCATCTACAATTTTGCCTTTTTTGTTGTTTTTAAAAAATATTTATTTTTATTGGAAAGACAGATTTACAGAGGAGAGAAAGATCTTCCATTTGCTGGCTCATTCCCCAGTGGTCGAAAGGGCCACAGCTGAGTTGATCCAAAGCCAGGAGCCAGGAGTCTTTGGGTCTTGTACGTGGGTGCAGGAGTCTAAGACTTTGGGCCTGCTTTCCCAGGCCACAAGCAGGGAGCTAGATGGGAAGCAGGGGCACCAGGATACGAACCAGCACCCATATGGGATCCCGGAGCATGCAAGGCTATTGGGCCAGGTCCCATCAAAACATTTCTTTACTGCTCCCTGACAAAGAGGAAAGGCTCTTTCCGTTCTGGTTACCTTACACTCCTTCCACATCTCCAAACTCTCACAACTAGATCGGCTGTTCCCTTTAGGGCAAGTGCTCTTCAACCTGGTGTTCCTACTTAGCATTCAACCTCGGCCCTCCAACAGCTCCTGCAGCTTGCTAACTTTATCTAACAAGCCATGGTAAGTGTTCCATGACTTGAGTTCTCACAATGATACTTCCTTCACACGTGCTCTGCTTACTCTGGCAGCAGATCTAGAGCTTCTGAAATCATATGCAAGTACGAGACGGCATCTCCTGCTCTTGCTCCTCCTTTATTCATCAAGTCCGTCTCCTTTCCAGTCTCCCACCCTCCAAACATCCTGCACTTTCACGTCCCCGCATCTCATTTTTCTGCCTTCAGGAGCCATTTTCGAAGGTGAGTGGCCTCAAAGTCTTCCTGCACATCATCTAGATTCTGTCCCATCTCTCCTCTCTTTCCACCACACTTTGGACACAGCATTAATATCAAACAGACACGTTACACAGACGGGTGCGGGTGTCAACCTGCGTCCCGCCTCTATGCCCGCGGCTCTGCGTGGAGCAGCGAGAGCTGCATTCCCGCTCCGCAATGTCGGCCTAACAGGCTCTGAAGGTTGGCGGGGACGCCTTGGCCAGGAACCGCGCCTAGAGTCGGGCAGAAGACGCTAAGGGGCGACCAGCCAGGTCCAGCTCCCGAAGGGCGGGAAACGGCGCTCGGCGGACGAATGGGACTCGGTGGATGTGTCTCACGGCGGTCCCCTGGAAACCCGCACAGCCCTTCCTGCGGTACCTGTTGCCCGTCCGCGCTGGGCCTGCGTTTCCCACCGCCGCCGCCCACCATCCTGCAGCCGCAGCGCCAGCGCAGCCTCGCGTTCGGCGGCAATCTCTGAGCGCCGCCGACTGCTTCCGGGTTCAAAAGCTACCAATGCGAGTCCTCGCGCGGCCGTGGGCGCGCCGCGGCGGGAGGAACGCCCGCCCTCGAGGGGCGGGCCCGGGCCTGGCGGGGCGACGCCCACTTGGGCTGCGCGCGAGGACTCGGAGGCTCTGTCACCGCGGTACCTCAGGGCGCGCGTGCGGGTGTTCCAGAAAACCCCGGCGCCACGCCGGCACCTCAGGGCGCGGGCGAGTGTTCCAGAAAACCCGGGCGCCACGCCGGCACCTCAGGGCGCGCGGGCGAGTGTTCCAGAAAACCCCGGCGCCACCGTGTGTGGGCGTGTTGAGGTAGCCCACCGTCCTCCTCAGGTGTTTGCCGGGCCCGGGACTGGGGGTGTGCCCGTTTTATCTGCGGGACCTTGTATCTGTAATCTCGGTCTCTCACTCGCAAAGGGTACTTAAAAAAATCTTTCCCCCTTCTCCCTCCCTCTCCTACTGTATGCAACTGCCTGCCACTAATTTATCCCCAGTTATCTCTCAAAGGTAATTCTCCCTTTCCTCCCGTCCCCGACTTACTCCCTTCCTGTGGAGAATGTGGACCGTTCGTTCTTTCCACCTTCTGCCGTGTCTGAAGCAGCAGTTCCTGGCGGAGCTGGTAGAGAACTCCCAGAATCCGAGCTGTGTTGATCAGATGCCGAGCCCTTCTTTGCCCCTCAGTGGCAGAGGCAGGCTCTCGCTTACTCCCTCATTGCCATTCTGGCTCCGTTTTATTGCTCACACCTGAGGGATTCTCAATCTCCTGAATCTCGTTTTTCTTGATTTTGGGTTTTTTCTAGTCCTTGTTTTGTGGAGCGGATCCTCCCATGGTTCCTCGAGGAGCGTTGAAGCCAGGTGATTTCATCCCCGCCCCAAGCTCCTTAGGGCTTGCCTGGTTGCATGGAATTATAGATTGAAACGAATCTTTACTCAGTGCTAGAGTATGGTAGCCTCCAGTATTGTTGAGAAACCCACATGCCAATATGATTCCTTTACTTTTGTAGGTGACTAATTCCTTAATATGTAAGCCACTTTTCTCTTGATGGTTTTATAACAACATATTTAGATAGGGTGGGCATTGCACGGCAGGTTAGCCCTCCCCAGCCCCTGCATCCCTTGACAAATCTGGTTGCCCCCTCCCACTTCACTCTCTCTGTGGCTTTCCAATAGACCATCATCCCTTAAAAAGAAAAAAAAAAGTAATTAGGATCTTTTCTTTATTCCCAGAGCCAAGTCACAATCATTTATCTCAATTATGAGTCTTTTTTTCATTTTTATTGAGCTGGCACTCGGCTGTTTTCAATGATTAAACATGTTCTTCAATTTTCGGAACTTTTCTAGTATTATTTTGTAATGATTTTTTGTACTGCTTCCATACCTCATTTTATCACTTTCAACAATACATTATTTAGCAGTTGGACTTTCTTGATGTCCTTATCTATCTGGTATATTTTCTATCATTTCATCTTATTATTCCACTGAGTGACTCTTCCACCTAGATAAATGTACTGGGTTATTTCTTTTATAATGCCTTCATTTTTAAGATAATTTTTTCCTTTATGGTAGCACATTATTTTCTCATGTATATAAATGAAATAGAATCTCTTAAGACCAATCACAAGACTTTAAAATGCTTCCTATGCAATTCTGCATTGACTTGTTTTGGAATCTTTAAAACAAATTTTTTTTTTATTTTATTATTCGGTGATACAATTCTATAGACTCTGGAATTTCCCAGCCCCTCTTCACAAATTCCTCTTCGTCATCACCCCCACATATTTCCTCCATATCATTACAACAGTATAGTTCATCATTCTGCTGTTTAAGTGTATAGTGACATTGTATGCATGAAGAGTGGCAGAGGGTCCAGCATCCTATTGTCACGATACATTCAATAGTTTTATTTAGAGTCCATCTTTGATTTGAAAGTAGAGATACACACTACATTGTATCTTCCCATCTGTATGTGATATTCTCTGCTACACAGTTACTATACAGCCCCTTAAATGAAAAGCTACGAAGAAAAAAAATCAACAGCAGGGCTCGGTGTGGTAACCTAGCCGCTAAAGTCCTTGTCTTGCATGTGCTAAGATCCCATATGGGCACTAGTTCTAATGCTGGCGACCCCACATCCCATCCAGCTCCCTACTTGTGACCTTGGAAAGTAGTTGAGGATAGCACAAGGCTTTGGAACCCGGCACCCACACAGAAGACCTGGAGGAGGATCCTGGCGCCAGCCTTTGTGGTCTCTTAAGGAGTAAATCAGTAGACAGAAAATCTTCATCTCTGTCTCTCCTCCTCTCTGTATATCTGACTTTCTAATGAAAATAAATAAATCTTTCCAAAAAATCAGCAACAAAGAAAAATAGAAAATATATGAAATTAAATTACATAAAGTTAAAGAAAATATATGAAGTTAAATAACATGCTGCTGAATGGCCAATGTGTCACTGGAGAAATTTAAAAGAAAATCAAAGAGCTTCCTGAAGCAAATAATGCTATTGTGTGACCTATGACTCAGTGAGAAAATTAATAAGAAAAACAAAACTTTTTTGAATGAATGAATATAAAAAATGTCAAGCCCCTGAGATGTATAAAAAATAGTATTGAAAGGGCTATTGATCTTATATTTTGCATGAAATTGCCTTCTGTCAGACCATATAATATTTGTCCTTTTGGGATAGACTAGTTTTACAGAGCATAATGATCTCTATAAGGGACCATTTGGTTACAAATGGTAGGATTTCATTATTTTTAATGGCTTAATAGTATTCCATGGAATAGATGTAACAGAGAAGCTTATCCACTCCTGTTAGATTGGGGCATCTGGATTGTTTCCATATCTTTGCTATTGTAGACTGTGCTGCACTAAATATAGGATTGCAGAACCCTTTCTGATGTGCAGATTTTATTTTCTTTGGATATATTCCTAGAAGTGGGATAGCTGCATCATACAGCAGGTCTATTTTTAGTTCTCTTAGCACTCCCATTATGACTTCCATAGTGGTTGTACTAGCCTACATTCCCACCAAGGTGAAGGAGGGTATCTTTTTCCCCACATTCATGCTAGCAGGTGTTGTTAGTGTAGTTCTGAATGTAGGCCAACCTCATTGGAGTTAGGTGGAATCTCAGTGTGGCTTTCATTTGTATTTCCCCAAAAGCTTGTTAGCCTAAGGAATTTTTTTATATGTCTATTAGCCATTTGGATTTGTTCTTTTGAAAAATAGCTGTTCATTTTCTTCACCCATTTGTTCACTGGATTGTTTGAGCTATTGGTCTCAGTTTGAATCCATGATGGTCTGAGAAGATCCATGGTATAATTTCGATTGTTTTAAATTTGCTGAGGCTTGTTTTGTGACCCGTAATATGGTCAGTCCTGGAGAAAGTTCCATGTACTTATGGGAAAAAATGTGTATTTTCTGTCTGTAGGATGAAAAGTTAAGTAGATTTCAGTTAATTCCATTTGCTCTAATGTCTGGGTACATTCTATTGTTTCCTTGCTGTATTTCTGTCCCATTGATTTGTTCATTGATGTAAAGGGGTATTAAGGTCCCTACTATTATTTTATTGGAGTCTATTTCTCCCCTTAAATCCATTAACATTTGTTTCACATAGCTAGGTGCCCTGGCATTTGGTGCATATACATTTATTATGATGACTTCTTCTTGCTGGATCAGTCCTTTGATCATTATGTGGTGTCCTTCATCTGTTTTAATGTTTCTCACATCAAACTCTATATTATATTATCTGATATAAGAATGGCTATGCCAGGATCTGGCAGGATGGCCTAGCAGCTAAAGCCCTCACCTTGAATGTGCCAGGATCCCATATCAGGCAGCTCCACTTCCCATCCAGCTCCCTGCTTGTGGCCTAGGAAAGCAGTCAAGAATGGCCCAAAGCCTTAGGACCCTGCTCCAATGTGCAAGACCTGGAGAAAGTTCCTGGCTCTTGGCTCCTGACTTTGGATCAGCACAGCACCAGCCATTGTGGTCACTTGAGGAGTGAATCGTCGAATGTAAAATCTTCCTCTCTGTCTCTCCACCTCTCTGTATATCTGACTTTCCAATAAAAATAAATTAATCTTTAAAAAATATATATATACACGTGAAAAAAAATCAATTGACCTATAGAGGATCCCAAGACTAACAGCTGACTTCTCACAGAATATTCTATAGGCTGGAAGAGAATGGTACAACATACTCATGATATGTGTATGTACCAATCTTTCCCTTATGTCAAGCTGAAGAAAGTTTGACTGTCATTTGACTATCATGTATCATGGTGATGATCACTTTTGGTCAATCCTATTCTATGTAATTTTGCATTGACTTATTTTGGAGGTGTTTTTTTTTATTTTTTTATTTTTTTATTTTTTTTTTAGTTTTTAGAACTGTTTACCAATGTATGCAATGATCCTTGTTCTCTCTCATGTAAAAATGATACTCTGAAAAATGTTTTGGGGGACATAGGTAAGGACTTGTTACCTGCTGGACAGTTGTACCATGGTGGGGGGTAAGGGCATAGCTGTTTATTTTCTTCCTGAGGATAATCTAATTGCTTCTAATTACTTGCTTGGAGCCCAATAGAAGCAGCACGCTGGGAATTCTATAATTTCAGCACCTAAACAAAAGGAGTCAGGGTGCTGCAGACACAAAGGATATCTATAACTCTATTTCTGTATGTCTATATTTGCTCATTGTGATTATGAGGCATGAGAAATGTGATAATATTCTGTCTGACTCCAGAAAGCTGGTGTTTTCTATGAAACCCTGAGAACAGAGGAGCTGGCAGGGCCAATATTGTGGATTCCAAATCAATTTTATGGCCTGAAAATGAACCTCACCAGTGGCAGGAAAATATTGATGATCTAGCTTAAGACGTCTGAAGCAGAGATTTAATCCTGTCTTCTTTCATCTTTTAGTTTTTATTGAGGCCCTGAATGGATTAAATGTTGCCCATCTTATTTTTGGGGACAA